AACCACCCCAGCGAACTCCCGCTCACGGAGGCTATGGTGCTCCGCACATGCAGCATGGACAGCCTCCACAGCAGTCGCCGTACGGTCACCCCAACATGCCTTACGGCGCTGGCTCGCCTAGCCGTGGTCCTTATGGTGGTCCTGCAGCGCCCACTCCTTACGGCGGTCACCCTGCTGCAGCGCCTGTTGCGCACGGCGGCGCCGCTCCACATGCAGCCGTTGGTGGCATGCCTGGCCAACCTCTTACCCAGCAGATTTTCATTCCCAACGACATGGTCGGTGCCATCATTGGCAAGGGCGGTGCGAAGATCAACGAAATCCGCCAGCTCAGTGGCAGTGTCATCAAGATCAACGAGCCCACCGACAACAGCAACGAGCGTCTTGTTACCATCACGGGTACGCAAGAATGCAACCAAATGGCACTATACATGCTGTACTCGCGACTCGGTTAGTAGTCTATTCCATCACATAACACTCACAATCCTGACTATCTATGCAGAATCGGAGAAGCACCGCATCTAGTCTTAGGGTGCTATCAATCCGAAGTCGCTACGATATGGTTCGTTGGCGGTCTGAGTCAAGGAACACAACACTGTAAGTCAGTCTACTGTCTTTGTGGGATGCATGTTATATTGGAGCACGGCGTAGCGGTATATTTAGTTGTCTCATGGTTTATTGGGTGTGTACTTTACGTGCTTTGTCCCCGACTGCTCTCGGCGAGAAAGAGCATCGCTTTGAGGGAACATGGCGATTACAGGGTTGAGGTGGCATGTGTCACTCTACGGGTCTTTCGCTGCCGATCTATATGATAGTAACATACCTGGTAATCTATCAAAAGCTTTCTGACTTCACAAATTCGCATGTGTGTTGAGTTAGGCATCTTTATCGGCGATGAGCATGGACTGCTAAGTGATGAACGAGATGCAGAACCGGGTGCCAGAGTTATTCTCGTCTTATCGAGTGGACTGTCCATGACATCTAGCCTCCTCCCGCTGTTCCTTTTCTAAGGATCCGCAGTCGTGTCCTACGAGTGAATAGCATCAATATTTCTCCTACTACAGCGTCTATTCCTTCATCGAGTCATTCACTCTGAATCAGTATCCATCCAAAACCTACCATCAAGGGTCATTATTCGCGGCTTAAGAGGACCACCTGGAAGGTTGCTAATGTTTGTCTGCCATTCGGCTGTGCGCTCAGCCCTGTAGAAGTCAGTAAAATGTCCGCTTGCGTTGTCTACGGTCAAGAGCTTACCTGATGTATGCGGTATCGTGTTGGGAACCAAGAGCGACCTTTGTCTTTGTGTTTCCTGAATGTGCATCGGCTACCGCAGAGTACTGATCAAGAAAGGCGAGGCTATCACGACCGCCGACACGCAACTTGAGCCTCTTCTTCACCTTTGGAGGCGATTCTAGCGAGTCAAGATAGAGGGCTAATTCTTCGTCAGATTCTTCGGCTGCACGCTTCTTAGCATTCTTGCCCTCATCGTGACCCCTATTATCGTCATCGGGAAGGGGACGCTGGGCGATGAGATTGACCGACAGATCGAGGAGGAAGTCTTTCGGCAGGTTCTCCGTCGTCCAGTGTTCAATGCGCTCTTTACTTGCACGTTGGGAGAAGATGTCAACCATTAAACGACGCGCGGGACTCGACTCGGGTGTACCGTCGTAGATGGTACGTACTGCAGATGGCTCCGGGAGAGAGTGGCCGAATTGAGGGCTCTCGCATCGTTTCCGAATGGCTGCCAGGATAGATTTCTTAGTGGAGTCGTCCATGAGCATCTCGGCGAGGACGTAGAGCTCGCTCATGGGCTGGAATGACCACGGCTGGCCTTGGAAGGATAGCTTGGTGCCATTCTATGTACTCTTCATTAGCCAAGATGTGGATACGCTGATCGTGTGAGCGTGCGTACATAGAGCGTGTCCAGATACCAAGCGAATATCCTAGGGTTCTCTTCTTTCAGAGTGACCTCGAGAGTCTGTGCTGAATTCCATCCCCCTCTTAAAGCATTCCGGAAGAACTTGCTACAATAACAGATGCGGTACGGGTCCACGAAGAACTTTTTTTGATTTGGTTCTTGACCGACAACGACACAGACAGTATCGTCATCCGAAAACTGTGAAAGAGCGTCATTATCCGACTCTGAGGACTTTTGGAGAAGAGCATCGTCAGGCTCAGGGTCGACGTCGCATTCGTCGGACGCGGAGTCGTAGCAGGTTCTTTCAGTAGCATACCTAGCGCGCAGACGCATTGTAGTGTTGAAGTAGAAAAGGTTGCTCTGTAGGTCGGGTTCTGAGATGAGCGGTTTGAGGTGCAGCGTCTGGGGAGTGTGGAACTGGGAGAAAAGAAATGGCAATCTGTACGCACACTCCCCCTTCGCACAGTCGCCACACTAAGCCTAATAGTACGGAAGTAGGGAAAAGGGAAGTTGTGGCTCCTTGCGGTTTTCACTGAGTCGCTATCGCCAGCGGGGCTAGGCACCTTTGACGATCTGAATGACTGCCGCATTGAAGATGTCTCCATCATATGGCAGCAGAGACAACCATCTAGTGCTTCCGACATGACAGCGCCAGCGCTGTCCTCTTCTGTAGTATAGTCGGCGTAATTTCCCTCTACACATTGCACACAATCGTGCTTTAGACTTATTCAGTAAACCAACATACGCCTAGCCAAGCGCAAGTCACATCCCAGTGACATGTCTAAGAGAGGCACAGATTGCCTACAACACCAGGCTCTTAAGTTGAAGATGACCAACATTCGTGACCAGATCTAGCTGCTTCGACATCAGTAGTCACACATGATTCCTATGCAAAACGGTGTGCGTGTTGTAAGCTAGTTGCTCTTGAAACCTGTATGATGACATTTTACACTTGCTATGCCGCCGCGTGAACACCTACCACGCTTATATATGCTGCAATCAGCGCACCCCCTTTCGAACATCACGCCCCTACGCCATACCGTTGACATTCTAAACACCCCTTCCTGCCTCGAAGACGCATTCCGCCTAGGTAGTGGCAGGTGCAGGTGCGGTAGCAGGGTCGGTGCCGACAGGCGCAGCTGGTGCAGTACCCGCAACGCCCTCAGTAGGTGCAGGAAGAGCCGTGTTGTCAATCGCATCGTCGCTCTTCTTGGCCCACTTGGGTTCCTTTGCCCACTGTGCATCCCACCATGGGCCTGCATCGCTCAATTGGCAGCCCTTCTCGCACTCGCATGATCCACCGAATGCCTTGGGCAGATTCTCGGCTGGGACCTGCGCCAGCAACTCCTTCTGGTATCCGCTGCCGAGAACGTGGATCTTGGCGCTTGTGACGGGGTCGAGGAACTTCTTGACCACGCTGAAGACGCCCGAGAAACCCCAGGGGGCGTTGATGATGTACATCTTGCCCAGACGCTCGGGGTAGTAGTTTTGACTGATCTGCGAGACGGCGCCGAGGTAGCCGTACACGGAGGTAGCCTTGCCAATACCAACGCCCTTCAGGTCCATGATTGTGCAAGATGTCTCGAGAAGGTAGCCCGACTTGCGGGAGCAGGCAGGAAGACGGGGGTCGGCCATCTTTTCGTATTCGCAGACAAGGTTCTGGATCATGCGCTCCTGGGACGTGATCTTTCCGAGCGCGGTCAGGTCGACGTTGCCGAGCTGCTCGATGTAGAGTGGGCGGCCATCCTAGTGTTGCGTCAGAGGTTTTGTTGGTCAGATCTGGGCTGAGCTCTCAGCCCAAGTAGAAGCCACGTACCTTGTCCGTCTTGTGGTAGTACTGGGGGTAGAACTTGAAGACCTCGGGTCGCTCCTTGTAGTCAAAGGTGCGGACGAGCTCCTCAACGCCGACGCCAGCATACTCGGCCCTCCACTTCTCGCAGTCAACGAACCTGGTGACTGTCAGCATACACTCCAGGCATTCTTCTACAGTGCCCCCATGCTGCATGTACATACATCTGTTTCGCAAGCTCGACATTGAACTTTCGCGCGCGGAGGAACCGCAGCTGTAGATTGTTTAGCTTGAGGCCTTTGCACCCGCAGGAGAAGCGGTGAGCATACCAGAGTCAGAGTGTCGAGGTTCTTGGTGTGGCCGGACTGCTCCAGCTGGGTTCTCAGCTGGAAGACCTGGGCATCTTGCTCTGGAGTTGTGTGGCCTGGGTGTCCTGGTTGGGCGGTGGGAGCGACAGTGGGAAAGTCGTAGTGGTCGTACTTGGGGTCGAGCTTCAGCTCGCTCGTCGCAGCAGCAGCCATTGTGTCTAGAGTGTACGAGAAGAGAGGTGGCTCGAAATGTACAGGGAGGAGGAAGGTAATTGCGAGTTGCGCGGCCTGGACGAAGTTGTCGAGGAGCGCACGTCGATGTCAACTAAGTGGGTCCCTGCCGCGGCGGTCAAGCGAGACCCCTTCCCCTCATCCTCCTCGACGGCTCATTCCAGCGAATTGTGGCCGTTGACGCTGCCCCATGACGCATCTGTGGTCCGAAAGCCATGTTCACGCAGCGTTCCTCACGCAACCACGTTACACCACACGTGCATCGAGGATATGTTGAACGGTAAAACCGTAGTCAGACCTGCTCGAGTGCAGGCGACGAGGCCTTTTTGAAGGAGCTACCTAGTTGATACATTGCAGAAAAGATGAACGCAAGACGAACCCAGAAAATAGATCAAACATCCCATGCCGACAAACACCAGCCACAGAAAGCCAAACGCTTCGCACGTTGAAAAAGAGAGTAGTGGTCCTTCCATCGTCAGGCTACCAAGGAAAACATGTTCCAGACACTAACAACAAACATGATGCGAGATTCTGCACTAACCGCTGGCATTGCTCATACCTCCCAAGTGATCAGACCGCGCACCGTCTATCGAGCGATTCACCCCGTTACCAAACCTAAATCTCCATCGTGGAGCCCGCAAAGGACGCGAGCGAACCGTAGCAACCGAACACCGAGCAAATGACGCCTGAAAACGACGGAGATTGCTGCACCAGAAAGCGTATTGACATGCCCGGAGGCCAAACCACGTCAAGCCGATCAATTCCTTCGATCGCGGCTTGGCCCAAAGTCGACTTCGGACACCTTCTTCGCCTCTTTGCGATTCTTCACAATGTATTGCGCGTACAGGGCCACGTGGTCACTGGGGAAGTGGTAGTTGGGGAAACCCGGTACCCGCTGGAGATAGTTCTTGTCAATCTCGCCAAGCAGACCTACCACCTGCAGTGTGTTTGTCGAGTACCAGATGTAGTCCAGGACTCCTTGGAAGTGAGGTACGTAGTTCGTGAACGCCAACTCGCCGATAGATGCGTAGCTGGACTTGAGACTGAATGGATGGGATATACCGTCTCGTGTGAAGTTACCATACTTGCGGCTTCCCAGATCCACGTGAGCATTCGAAACATTGCCATGTGTTATGAGATCGTAGACACCAGAGGATGGCAGCGAGTTGAAGTCACCGCATAGCAACACGGGGATATCGGAAGGATCAGAGTATTCCTTGGAAGGTCCGGGCTCCTGTGTCGGGTCGGGTTCGGCTCCTTCTTCGCTATCGCCATTCGTGAACTGGTACACCACCTTGTTCTTGCAGGCCGGGTGCTTAGTCCATTGAGTTGCAAGCTTGGTGATACCCTCCATCAAGATGGCGACTTGCACAAGCTTGACATCCTGGAACGCAGGGTTCCAGAAGACGTGTACGTTTCCGACAATGAATCTGGAACCTGTAGCACGGTTTTCGAGGAAAGCAACAACGCCAATATCGTCTCTGGGCATGACTCGATTGAATATATCGTGTTCGCCCTTCATATCCGGACGGTTGATGGCTGTATTGGCAAAGTCGATGAGCTGCTTGTCCAGCAAGATGTACCTGGCCTGATTAGTGGGGTTCCGCAAGACGAGACGGTTAAAAACTTACTTGCTGTTCTTGTAGAAGATGGCACACCCATCGACCAGCTTTGCTTCCCTTTCTGCCATGGTACGCGCTCGTGATTTCGGCCAGAATACTCCCTTGTAGTCGTTGTGCGCCAGCTCTGCTCGGAAGAACTCGTTGAAACTATCTTGATCGATTTCTTGCAGACACACTATGTCTGCGTCGCGCTCCCGCAGTTCAGCAAGAATGAGCTCCCTGCGACTCTCCCAGGCCAATGCTGAGCTCGGTGTGTATCCATACTGTGATTGCGTACAGTATTTGTCGCACAAGATGTTGTAGCTGAGCGCGCTCACAGTCTCTTGTGCCGTGTCTTGAACCTCATCGAGGACAATCCAGTCTCGCTCTGGTGGCGCCTCTGGACCCGGTGCGTTCTCGCGGAAGTGCTTGATAAGTTCCGTGGTGCCTTGTTCCATTATGATCTGTTTCAGGTCGTCCGGAATAGGGTTGCCCTCGATACCTAGCATTTCCAGTTGATACAAGGATCCTAGTTCGTATGGCAGATTCTCGATGTGGTTGTCGAACAGGAGCAGCTGCTTCAGGTTCACTAGCATGCCAATCTCCGGGGGTAGATATTGCAGATTGTTCAGGGAGAGATCGAGATGAGTGAGGTTCCGCAGCTGTCCAATCTTCTGGTGCACGTAGGTGAGCTTGTTGGAGTTGAGGTAGAGCTTGGTCAGGAAAGTGTAGGCAAACAAGGCTGGCGTGATGACTTTAAGATTCTGGCCGCCGAAATCGAGAATTGTCCAAATGTGCTGGTCCTTGGCATCTTCCACCCGCTGAGCAGCAGGCCTATTGCGCTCTTCCTTGTCCGTCTCTTTTTGCATCCCGTTTGATGTTCCCGCGACAATGCTCTTACTAACGCTCGGGTGGATGCGAGCGTGTGAGTGGGCCTGCGTCATCTCACGCGCGGTCTGGTGCAGCTTCAATTGCTCTTGCCAGTGTTCGGTTGGTGGTTTGCTGAGTCCACTATGAACGCTGTTTGGTGTGCCGTTCTGGAGATGGCCCGGCGTAAAGTGGGGCTGCACGTTGGACATACCCCCACTCGAGATGTTGTGCTGGTGGTTGAATTGGCCGACATGATTGTTTCCGGAGATGTCCTGGTGCTGCTGGTGATGTTGGTGCTGGTTCTGGTGGTGCTGATTGTGTTGGAAGGGCTTCCCCAGGTTCATGTGCTGCATAAAGTTCTGCTGCCCTGCTCGCCCGTTCATCATAACGTTGTGGCCCTGGTGCCCATGGGCCTGGTTGAACATGCCGAACTGCTGGGGAGACGACTGGCGCCCAGGAGATCGTGATGGCGAGGGTGTGTCGGGGTTGGGGAAGGGTATGCGGGCGGTAGACGTGGGTGAGCGCACTCGGCTGGGGAGGTTGCGTATGTTTTGTGTGTGTTGCGGATAGAAGGTATTGCCGGTTCCCCTGGGGTAGACCGAGTACTCGGCCATCTAAGGGAATCGCGGCGGAAGATATCTGGGGTCGCGCAGGCGGCCTTTGTGTTGGGGGTGAAAGGCGCGAGATGCTCTGGCGAGTCGGGGCGTCAGGTAGGAGGAAGGGTTCGGGCACGCGATCTTCTTCGTTTTAACATGGGCGCCCGTGCGACTCCTCGACATGAGCACGCGTTCAGCAAACGCGGCACCAGTATACCATGTATTGATATCCCGGCGGTTCGCGAGTGAAGGTGGTGTTGGAGCGGGGACTCGGTAGCGAGCGAGGGCGGAGGGGTTGCGGGCGTCGAGGCGTGCTGGAGATAGAGGGCTGGGGCGCGGGCTCGTATTGATATCCTGGCGGGCTACTGGTATGGAGCAGTCAGTTGGTGCGGCGGGGAATCGAAGAGGTTGGACGGGGAGCTCGAGCGGGCAGCACAAGCGTGTGGAAGCGGCGCACGTACGGCAGCTGAGGATGTCAAAGGGCGCGCAGGAGGGCAATCGGGCTCAATCGTGCCAGACAGACTGTCAGCGGGTCCAACTGCAGCGCTGTGAAGAATAGAGAGCGTAGTGATGCGATACGTGAAGCCCAGTCGAACCTTGCCCGATGCATTGGGGTCCGCCGCTTAGCGGGCCACGTGACATGGAAGCGTCGATCCAAGCTGGACGCCATGAAACTGTCCATCTGTTCTCTCGCGACTGGGCCTGTGCCCGCGTTGGCTGGGTGTGCACTGCGTTCTTCTTTTTGACGTGCATGGCTACTATCGAGCAAGTGTATAGGACCAGCTTTGTGTACCTAGGTACACACCGTATCCGTGGGCGTGTTCGACGTGCATCTATCCCTCCTCTACATGTGCCCTGATTCACGTATGTGTTTCATCCACGGAAAGGCTACAGATTACGCAGTACCCTCGCCCTTGATACTCGTTTCCGCCGTGCACTGCATGCCCTCGTGAGCTTGTCGCTGCTAGACTCGGGCTTTCCCCACGCTGGAATATCACCTGCAGCACGTCTTCGGCTCATGCCGCGCTCCTGCAGACGGGCGCCACATCGCCAGAAGCTGCTCGTTCGCGGCGCTCGCACTGCCCAGCGATGTATCGCCATAGAGAACCTGGGGATTCACACAGCCGCAGCCGTTGATTGGAGATGTGTCCTCGGCTGGCCTCGCAGCTCCTCACCTGAGCTGCCTCCCACACCCGGAGCTGTGCCGAAACTTGCATTCACATACATGGCGTGCTGGCACCATCCTCTGATCTGATCTCTCTCCAGTCGAGCTCTGCTTCCTTGTCGCATCCGCTCCGCCGTCCCGCTCATTAATTGCTGACTCGCCTACACGTGCTTATCAGACGACTAAAGACCGGCCCAATATCGCGTTCCCGCTAAAACAGTGGGGCTAGGGTAGGAGTAGACTGGACAACCTCGAGCACGTTTCCAGGTCGTCTCCATGGGCGATTGGCAGTTGGCAAGAACACTGTGCTTGCTCTACGTGTGAACCTCTCTGGCTAATCCCCTCCCCAGTATCGCTACTACGGCGCCAACGCCACCGCCAGCCCTCCCATACGCCCCAAGACCGTCGAAGCAAAGCAATGGGATCTGACCACCACGGACGCTCTCGGTAGAACCATCTCTGCGTCTTCGACTTCTGCCTCAACAGGCGCGCGCACCCTCTCAGGCCACAACATGGACATAACGCGCGGCTCCATGTCCAGCAGCTCCACCCAGAGTACCAGAGACGACACGGGCGTCCCCTCTAACGAACCCTTCATTCTGCGCCATGGCCGCCGATACATTCGAAGCGCCCAGAGCTATCCCCTCCCGTGCGACCTGCCCGAGCTCCACCGCCAGAACCTACATACCCTCCTTGCGACAGCTGTCTTCGGCAAAGCCATGGGCTCCACCCCCTCATACCCACCAAAGAAAGTGCTCGAGGTTGCGTGTGGCTCCGGATACTGGTCGGCTGTGTGCCATGAATGGCTGAGTGGTAGGTATACCCCGCACCTTCTGTACGGTTCCGGGCTGACCGTAACCAGAACAGGGCTACGATGATGTTTCCTTTACTGGTCTAGACATTGTCAATCTCGCAGGAGATTTGCAGCGCCAGGGCATCGACTGGAAGTTCGTGCAGCATGATCTGCGCAAGTTACCACTGCCGTTCGACGATGAGGAGTTCGATGTCGTCGTGATGAAGGACCTGAGTATGGTGATACCTGATGGGCAGCCCTCGCAGAGGACACTCGATGAATGCACTCGGATCCTAAAGTCTGGGGGCACGTTGGAAATATGGGACACAGACCACATTATCCGATCGATCCTGCCGCATCCTCCACCTCCACCAGGCAAGAATCCCCAAGAGTACGCTTGCGCTGTATCGACCGGGACGTTCCTCATTTCGCACACCACGCCCTTTACCGATGTGCAGAACAAATTTCTCCAAGACTCCAACTCGTGGATCCAAGAAGCGCTGGACCGACGCAAGCTCACGGCAACCCCTTGCTCTCGTATATCGCAAATCCTGCTACAAGAGCCGGACACTCTATGCGAGGTGGAAAACCGGCGGGTAGCGATTCTTCTCGGTGAACCACGGTGGGAGCGCGAAGCTGCGGGCGAGACGATAAAGCGACGTGGAAGCGAGGCGGGGAAACTCAAGAAGGGAAGCGCAGCCCTGGAGAGCTCCATTCTGACCAAGGAGCAGGCAGCGCTAAGACACACGGCATTGCTTGTCGTCATACAGTTGATTGAAAGTCTCGAGCCTCTACTCAAAGAAGTCAGCGGAAAGAACCAAGAGGAATGGCAGCGTTATTGGAACTCCATGATCAACGACCTGCTTGAGCAGAAAGGTGCCTCGAGCGGTGAGTGTCTCGAGCTCGGCATATGGTGGGCCAAGAAGGCGTAAAGTTCAAGTGGCGTACCTTGTTATTTGTGATATCCCGGTCTACGCAAGGCCATGGTCGGCGAAATGTCAGTTATCGTATTATACCAGCTAGGCGAGTTTGTCGTAGCGCTGGCGCAAAGTGCGATAGCGCTTTAGATAGTATCTGGATATAGTTAGGAATTCTTTCGATTTTGCTTTTTCAGCTGCTGCAAACGAACAGTGCTTCAATCTCTATAAGATGTTAGCATGATACATTGGATGCCTGGTATGGCGTGACTTACCTTTCTTCACGTACTCCGCCCTCTCGATGCCCTGCTTAATCTTGGCCTCGTCCGTCAGATTCTTTTGGCTCGCAAATGCCTTGTGTAGGCGTGTCCTAAAGTAATCGTAGCCCTGGGGATATTCCCGGCCCATGAAAAGCAAATCTATTCATTTCGTTAGCCCATGGAGTTTGCTACGAGCCGAGGGAAAAGACCATGCTACGTACCCTTGTAGATCCGGATGACCTGGTGGCGAAGCGCGGGATTCGGGGATGTCATTTTTCAATGATGAAGCAAACGATGTATGGATCCAAAGAAGTCGATGCTAGAAAGCTGTCAAACGTCAATTGCGTGTGTACGAGCAGGGTGCGGAGTAGTTGTAGTAAACGCTCGGGCCCGCGTCCTGACGTAGCGGCTGGCGGACTTGTGGATGGAATTGGATGTGGAGGTAGCGGATCCTCGGCTTATCTTCCGTATCCTCGGAAGGAACGCCCTAGCTCTTGCTGCAATCGTTCGTGAACACCACCGCGCTGTCTTCCCATTGGACTCCGTATTTCACAATAATGAATACCATGCGACCCTTGGTGCGCTCGGCGCTTTTTCGTTCTAGACCTGCATGGCCAGCTCTTCCGGTTGTGCAGGGAGTTTCTCGCACGCGGTATCAGTCTACTTCAAGCGGTACGTAAATTGGGTGTCGATTCTTTGATGCTGTTAGTGCGCGCAGCACGGATCTATGTGATCGATTGATGGGCACGTTGTACCTTGTAAAGTATCTCAAGCCAGTCACTATACAGTTGTCCAAACAGCTATCATTGTACTTTATAAGGGGAAGAGCTGGAGCATCACGGAATACCAATAGCTGACCCACATCTGACACAGAAGCACCGGCAACTGCAGCGCTCAGCCCAAGATGGCTCTCGGACGTTCGAACACGCATCGGCAAGTGTATTAGTTTTGGAATGAACCCTGCACAGATTGAGGAAGCTGGTTTGATATTACAGGAGACTGCAGCAGACTGTGAGTTATGACAAAGGTGGTTCATGTCATGACGCAGAACCAACTTCTTATGTGTCTTACAGGGCGAGAACTTGTAGCTGGTAGCGAGGGTTTTCTTACAGGCAGGCAATGGCGGGGTCTCTACCGGCAAGAGGTGGTATGGGGTGAAATGGTTAGGATCCTGTCTAACGAAGTTGTGTACAATTGCTGATGTGAGCGATCGTGTGCAGGACAGCATGGTAGGATGACCCCAATACGTGTATACTGATAACTGCTGACGGATGTGAAGGGTACTTACTTCCCTACCTGGGCCTTGGATATCTAATTCTAATCTCTGATAGGTCATGTCAACAACGTCATGTACAATCGGTATGCTGAGTCGGCGAGAGTTAACTGGACGCTGAACTTTGCGGCGAGCGACCCACAACACAAAGCCGAGTGGATGGAGCTCATGACACCGAAGAGCGTTGGCTTGATACTGCGAAGCATCAAAACAGACTACAAGTTTGTAAGTTGCGCGCGCTACTGGTCCAGCTGGAGGCTGGCCGAATTCTTGAAACGTCACTGACGGAGAACTAGCCCATGAAATGGCCTGATAGGTGCGACCACGAACGCAAACTACAAGATGCAGGGCTCAATGTTTTAACACATACATTATCAGGGTGACCGTACTGCACAAGCTTCGAGACAAACCGACACAAGACACCGATCACTTCATCTTGGACGTACTAATCCTCTCAGAGGCCCAGCGTCGACCAGCAGCGCGATGCACCGAAGACATTGTCGTGTACGACTATCGAACAGCGAAGAAGTCCCCACTGCCGTCTTTTATGATCCAGAAGTTCCAAGATACATTCAACCTACAGGAACAAGCGAAAGACAAGAACAGCATTAGGGTCAGAGGGCTATTGGATCGAGTTAGGGAATTAGAGAAGGGTAGCTGGGATAGACCGGATGCTAAAGAAGACTTTGGTAGCGCGGCTCCGTAGAACATGGTGATACTTGCGAGAAAACGCCTCATCAGACCCTTGATATCTGCGGTTCGCATTCGCAAACGGTGCCTTGATTTCTGGTTCCTCCTGTCCCGTGAAAGCTTCGCTAGTGCGACGTCTTTGAACAAGACTAACAAATAGTCATGTCTGTAGCGGCGGTAGAGTAGGATTTACTAGCGGTGTTACATAGGTATCGTCATATCCGTCATCATATACCCCTGCAGCGGCATGGACAGACAGCACGCGGGGTTGATCGCGTGTCCGAGGTCGGCGCATGGCAGTCAAACCAGTTGTATAGATGCAAGCGATGGGAAAATGGCAAACTGCCGCATGAACCCACTGCATGGCGTGATTCTCATCACAATGATGTACATGAAGTGGGATGTTCTGATGCCTATTGCAGCGATCTGCACGCCCGTTGCGCGCGTGATGTTCCGGCTTGCCTTATTTGCAAGTCGAACGGGCTGCTATTGGCGTGGTTGGGTTAAGCTTCACGCCGGCACACTGCAGAGGGCGGAAGAGGGTCATGGATGTGCAGGCGGAAGGCTTGCGCGCTATGCTCGCCTCGAGGGAACACAGATAGATAAAAATGCTCCGAACAATTTGGGATGCTGACAGTGCACCGCTTGACCCGGTATAGCAATGCTCAGTAAGGTGTGGCGTAACACGTCGCATGAGCATTGCTGTGCAGCCGCTGTAAAGATTCATGCATCGAAGGGGCAGGCACGCTCTATCCGCGTACCTAGGAAGCAGACAATGGGTGACGGCGGCGTGAGTAATAGCGTCGGCGGGGTTTGCCCGCTGCAGAGACTTCAGGCATGCGGTGAACAGACAAAGCGCGGGTTCATTCGCCCTGGAGCTTGCTATGGCTCAGGGGGGTCCTGGTGCACGCAAATGAGCAGGTAAGCTAAAGAAGCCGGCGCAGGCTAATTGGCTGCCTTGGAAGACGTGTTTGTCTGGCGATGCAGCTGTGCGATATGGCAGAGGCAGCAGACGGGGGGACTATGTAGAGGAGGGCAAGATGAGGTGCCAGACAGGCAAGATCACTGCCGGAGAGGGACGGGCGATACTTGGCTTCCCCGATAGAGTGAAATGACGGCCTTGTTGTCGTGGTCAAGATCGGCATCATGAACTGGAATCGGACACAGCTCGGCTGATCTGCGTGGCAGCAGCATCAAGATATGCTGCCCGCGTGGTTGTGATGATGGCGGTACAAGCCGGACACATGGAATTTTGCCGCGGATAGGCAGCGTGTCGAGGGCGTCGTGGTTGCATGTGCAGGGCGGTCGTGGTGAACCACGGGTCGGCAGCGCTGGAGACGTGGAACCTCGGAGTCGACAGGCAAATCAGCCGTCAGGTGCATCGTGGCTTGTCAGTGCTCTGGTCACAGCGTGGCCCACTCGCGCAGAGGCTTGGGCGGTCGGGTTTTCTTGGTTGACTTTGCATTTGACGTTTAGCACTTGCAAGTCTTGGCACGAGCCCATCCGGCGGAAGGCACGACTGAGCAGGCGCAGGGCACCTTCCTCGCTCCCTACACGTCTTGCCCAGCACACGACACCCCCCCAGACTCCCCCACCGAGCAGCGGCTCAACATCTTCCAGTCCTGGCTCGTCCTGTGCAGCAGTCGAGTCGCGCCAGGGAGAGGTTTGCCCGCTCGCACCCGCACCGCCGTCTATGGTAGCGAAGTCGAAGAGGAACGCGGCGCACGACAAGCGACACGAGAATGGCCTTGCGGCCCCCGGCAAGAAAATCACAAAGCAGAAGAGCATCCCGCAGCTCAATGGCCACGCCAACGGGAAGCCCAGCGAGCCCTCGCCGCCGCTGCCCAGCCATGTAGACACGACCGAGATGACGCAGCACGCCAGCGCCCACGATCCAGCTCCAGGGTCGAGCGCCCACGCCAACACCATGGCCGCTGCTGCGTCGGCGGGATCAGGGCACCGCACGCGCGCTGGCTCGGATGCCTCGCTCGACAACACCCCCGAGGCCTGCCGCTCGTACGACAATGGCAGCGCCGGCGGGCCCTTTGATCCCATGCCCTCGACTCTCCGCCGCGCCGACACCAATGCCTCCAAGTCGGCGTCTATCTCCATGGCCAGCATGCTCGCCGTGCCCGCCACCATTCTCACGTCCTGTCCGCTGCGGGACGTCCTCGCCATCCTCATCATCCTGCTCCAGCTGCCCCCCACCGTCCTCACCGTCGTCCAGTTCCTGTTCGCAACGCTTACTTTTGTCCCGCCCCAGGCCGGCACGCCCCTCTCCGCCCTCTCCGCCTTCCCCTCCTTCACCGACATCTTCCAGGGCTCCGGCGGCACGCCCTCGCTCTTCACCACAATCATCGCCGACACCGTCATCCTGCTCGTATGGCTGCTGCTGTGGGTGCCTGCCCAGAATTTCTTCCTCGACCTCGCACAGGCCGTCATAGCCATAGCGCTCGGCGGTGCCGCAGCCGGCAAGAAGGGCACGACCAACAGCATTGTCATATGCTTCGTCATCATTCTTTCGAGCCACGTCTTCAGATTCAGGCCTCTCCGGCAACACATCGTCCACTTCCTGTGGACGGGGCTCGCCCGGGGAGGCCTTGAATTCTTGACGAGCCCCCCGAGTACGCCGACCTATTTGGAAAGCTTCTCGACCCCCCATGGATGGCCTCGTAGCCTCCTGGGCATTCATATTTTGGCCCAAGGTGTCGTTCGTATCATCCGACGCTCTCTCTCTCGACGAGAACAATCAACCTTACCCACCGGCAAGAAGACAGATCCAGAGTCTGGCACGCTGCAACGCTCCAACTCCACGAACCTCGATCCCACTGCCGACGTGCCCAACTCCTCGAGCACCGATGGCCGCCCCCCGGGGCCGTCGCCTGCAGCACACGCAATCAAGGATAAAGCGAGTAGTGGGAGGAGGAAGAGGAAGCAAGCTACTCATGTTCGTAGTCAGCAGCCATTCTGGGCTGCACTTGCCAGTACAAAAGTTACAGTTTTAAAAGAGATGGAGAGTAGCCGGGCGGCCAACGATGCCGACGAGGCTAACGCAAAAGACGCAAATCACATTGGAAACGCTGTTTGGAGATCGGAGGACGATCGTGTTTGGATTTCAGAAGTCGGCTTTTCCGACATTTCATTTCGTGTTAGTTTATCTGGTGGAGCTGGCCTTCAAGAGCAGGACGACGAAGATTCCAGCGTCGGGTCTGGGATAGACAAGTCGAAGCCCTTCTACATCCGCGTCAACGGCGCGGACTGGAGCTCAACCCGCATCCGACAGAGCGAGCCGATCGGATTCCAGGGACAAGAGGGAACGGGCTACTGGGTAGGAGAAATATTTGGTCTAACGGCTCTCTCGAACTATTATTGCGAGTTTGTTCGGACCAACGACAACCAAGTCTTCTACTCAGCGAGTCTTATTACCTCGGCCAGCCCGGTAACCGAACTTGGTAAGCAGAACATCTTGTGTAGCCTTACCTTGCTAATGCGTGACAGCTTCAGCTTCTATTGCCTCCCCGCCAGCCCATCAGACCCTACGACCTTCTTCGCCAACAACCACGTTGAAGAACTCTATTGCCGCAGCCGACCAGCAACTACAGGAACAGCGCAATCGATTGAAGCGAAACAAGAAAGACCACAAGACAGCCATTACCAACATCAAGAAAGAGGTAGACACGCTCGGCAACCGCCTTGCCAACGCCGGAGGTAGTGATGAGCGCCAACGCCAGCGCGTCCTTCAATTCACGCAGAACATCCGCCAAGCTGACGATGCTGCCGCCGAGTTTTCCCTTCAAGCAGAAAATCTGGGAAGCATTCCCGAAGATGAGGCGAAGGAGGCTGCAGCCAAGAAGGCAGAGTGGAAGAAGGAGCGTGACAACAAGAATGCTGTTGCTTGTGAATTCGACAAGACCAAGGAGGAGATCGAGCGACAAGTGCAAAGTGTGGAGTCCGATATTTCTACTGCCTTCCAGAAGAGGGAGCGCCTCCAGCAGCGTCAAACCAGGCTCAACGAGCAGCACGATCGTCTCGTTACTGCCAACGCTGAAGGTTTCACCGCCAAGCAACGAAGGGAGCAAGAACGCGCAGCATTACGAGCACAGCGCGCTGAAGTCGAGCACCAGTATCGGAGCAACATCAATGGTTACGAAAGACGCACTGAGGAGCAGAACATGTCAACCAGCCAAATCCTGCAGACTGTTCAGCAGTACGAAGAGCTCCTCCTCCAGCAAGCGCACCAGCACATGTCTGTTCCCACCACACCAGAAGGCAATCTCCCAGGCACGAACATGTCGCCTCACGGCAATGGTTTCTCCAGCTTCACGTTCCCGTCAATGCACTCGCACATGAACGGCACTCCCGGTTCCATGCGTGGAGGTCGCGGTCGTTCCTCGTCGATGCTCTCTAACGTATCCGGATTCACCGACGCTTTCGACGAGCCCGCGTCTTCAGGCACTTATGTCCTCGGTAACCCCTTCAGCACTCCAGGTCCGATCAATGGCCGCAATCGCAGTCACGGTAGTGGCAGCCTCAGCTCAGGAACCTCCAGTCAGAGTTCGAGCCAACGAGACCCATTGAGCCCAGTCCAGAGTATTAAGCCGATGATGGTGCGGAGTCCTACTAGTGGTAGTGGTAACAGTCTGATGAGTCCGATTGGCACTGGCAGATGAAACCGTACACGATTTGATCTTTACGTATCTTTAGGTAGTGTTCCAATGTGATATTCGCGTCCTTTTCGTGTTCTCAATATAGTTCTCGCTTTGCTCCAATTGAAGTGATTTGCGTGTGAATGAACAACTTCATGACATGATGCTCACGGATCGTAAGGAATCATAAACTACCTTTGATACCTACGTAGAGACACAGGTGTATGTACTAAGACGTGAAAAGGTAAGTAACGACTACACCGCAGGATACGGTCTTTATTTGCTCAGTGGAAGGTACACGAAGACTATCCCGCTGCCTTATGCTGACATACAAAACGCCCCCAAACATGCTGTAGTCCCCAAACCTCCCCAACTCACCCCTCAAGTGCGTTGACGCGTTGAATGTCTACATCTCCTCGATGATGGTCGACAACCTTGGACTCCGGCCGGTCTGCTCCAGGTCTTCGCTGGCATCGTCCAGTCTGCCGCCGCCTCCTTCAGCGCCACGCCTGACGTCCATATTGTCCCCTCCTTCGCCCCCATGCTCATGCTCGACTTCCTCTTCACCCTCCTGCCCTCCTTCGCTCACACCCGCAACGTTGGGAATCCTCCCATGTTTCATCCCCCAATTACCTGTTTGCATGCAGACATCTATTCCCGACCATGCGATCAGTCAACCATACCTTCATTTCCCTTGCTCCAATGATACAATCCAAAAATGAAGATAGGAAAATAAAATAGCAGAAAAGCAAGAAGTGACGTGAACTTACTAATAACTCCACCCATCCCCTTCCTCAAGTCCTCCAACAGACAATTCGCCCCAGTGATGATGTCGGGCTGATCCTCCACATGGCTGATCAGTGTCCATGATGTGAATGGCGAACTTGAAGGGCCAGTGTAGAGAATCAAAGCCACGCCGTAGGTCGGCCCTGTTCTCTCTTCACCATCGTTGTTGCTGCTGGTGCTAGCAGTGTTGAAGGTGCTTCTGCTATCGTTGCTACTGCCACCATCGTTGGTAGTCATGCTGTAGGTGACTACATCATAGACTTTTGACGCGTCTTCTGATCTTGTGCCGTAAAGAGGCGTTGCTAGACTGATGATTTGTGTCTTGATGGCAGTGAAGAGTTGCTGCTCGAGCAGTTGTGCGGCGTGTGTTGACATTGTCTTGTCTGTTGAAGTTTGTGTTGGATTGAGTAGAGGAGTTTGAGGTTGTCTCTGTTGGTTTGGTGTTGAAGTCGAAGTCGTGGTGGTGAGCGTTCGCAAAGGCGAGTGACCAAAGTGGAGGTGAATGTCGGAAATAGACATGGTATCGTAAGTCACCTTGAGAAACACCAGAATTCTATGTCAGAGCTCTTATCTTCAATTTCGTTTGCTCCTTCATGTACGGCCAAACAAGTACGATGCATCTACAAACCATCGTTTGACCAAGTCCGCGACGTTCCACCGTCACCCAACCTTAAGTCACCAACTATCCACACAAATTGCTCCGCTGCCCAGCATTCCAGCGCCGCATCGCCTCTTTGATCTGCTTATCAGTCCAGGGCCCGTACCTTTTGTGATCTCCGTGTGGTAGATATCCCGCCTGGTGACTCTCCTTCACCCTGCTCGCCGCACCCTCCATCGCCATGATCCACCAAAAGCCTCCTTCTGCCATCCTACTTCCATATAGCTTCCATAGCCCAGGCATATGAACCACATCTTGCACACAGTAATCCTTGATTGCTTGGCTCAGCGGCCTCTCTTCAAAGACCGCATATCTGCCACCTCGCTCCGGAGCGAAGAGCCTGACACCAGCCTCTTTGATGGCGCTGCAGACTTGCCTCTGCATCGGCGTTATATTCAGGCGTGAGGCATTATAGTCGATCGCTTTGCCCAAGCCCAGGAGGTGTTCACGGGAGCCGCGTGTAGTAGTTGCTAGCTCCATGAGTTGGATGTCGTGGATGCAGGAGAGGGAGATGGCGTAGTGGGAGAAGAGGGCGTCGGAGTCGTTGCGTACATCGAAGAAGACCTTGGGGATTGCTGGTGATTCCAAGATAGACTTCAGGGTTGTGGAAGGCTTTCCAGCGTCTTCAGTGAGGTTTGTTGTGCTGGGCGTAGTATCAAGAGGCGCAGTCACGCTTGCTGTTGCTGCGATGGCAGGTGTTGAGAATGCGCGAGCGCCTAGAGTATGGATGTCGATGAGATACACAGTCTCCTTGGGGAGGACATACAGGGTTAGTAGTGCGATCGAACCATTCCTGCTGAGCTTCGCGCCTTCCAGATCGATGTACAGACTTGGTGGGGATACTGGCAGGTCGTCGAACGTTGCTAGCACGACAGAGAGCTCTTCTGGAGTTGATATGAATACGACTGGAGGCATGATCGTAATTTGTTGGTACTGTATGTGGTTGTTGTAATATTCAAGGAATGCTGTACATTTATATCAGACAGAGAGTGATTGTTTAATGATTCTGGACACGACGATACCGAAAAAGAAGAGGCGAGTAGGTGCAGGCCATGAAAGACTTATAAAGAAGGCAGCAGATTGTGCTTTCCGATCGGCAGGCTGCACCTAGTATTGCCTGAGTGTCCCTTCTGTAATGTGGTTCGACAAAATGTACCGTCGTGTAAGCTGTGCTAGCCTTTGCAGAAACCGGTGAACTTCCTGCATATCTCAACGAAACAAGGTGCCACGAAACCCAATAATTGCTGAGGCAGAAGTCCCAGCTCTATCGATTCAGCCTTGCTCCACATTCCATTGGATTATGGCAGTCGATATGCAAGTGACAGAAGCCCGTTATGGAAAAGATCCTCTGAATCGTTCTCACCAGGGAAGGCCAGCTCATGTTGTGTTAGAACCTATATTATCATTTGAATGCATTACATGTCCTGAAGTGGTGGCGCTTGGGCAATCTGGAGGAGGGGAAGCGAGGAATGCAGACAAGCCAATGAGATCCAGACCAATAGTGTGACGCAGTCGCAAATGGAGGTAGAACACCAGGCGAATGCATAATGCACTCGCTACTGGCTCTAGATATATGCGCATAATTTATATGTAACGTCCCTGGGGATCAAACTTGTCCATGAGCTCCATGGACTTTTCGTACATGGTGAAGACGATGCCACCACTGAGGATCAGCCGACCCAACCTTGGAAGTGCTCCTGACCAGAAGGTGAAGAGCCCCTCGTCTCTGAAGATCTTGGCTACACAGTCGAAGCTGTTCTTGTATGAGCTCCGTGCTTCTATTGACTGCATGCGTGTCTTGACTGTGTCGATAGGCATCGTAGTGTAGACGGTTATTATGCCTGCGAGTCCTCCGAGTCCGAATGTGCTGAAGGCACCGAGCTTCTCTCCTGGAGTGACGTATGACTGCGCTAGCTGCTTGAGCGATGTGTAACTGGAGAAGCGAACGGCCGAGTTGGCTGCTTGACGTGCAGTCGTTGGGAGGAAACCTTGGAAGAAGCCGCGAATGCCTTTTTCTTGTGCGATTATTCTTGATCCGTGCAGGAAGCCTCGCATGCGTGGGTTCGCCGACTTGCGGTCGTCAATACTAGGCGGATGAGTCAGTGAAGGTACATGAATGCGACCAAGGCTGCTTACAGTTGGGTTTTGATACTCTCGAACGGAGTCACAGCTAATAGCGACTCTGTAGCTCCTGCACCGAAACCAGCTATGACTGTCGCTGGGCCGGAGACTTTGCCTTCAGCGTCTGCCAGCATATTCCTGTACATGTCGAATGCGACAAATCCTGCGTGAAGTGTCAGACAGTCGCCTTCCCATTATTTCCACGACGTACTTATGCCCGCCTTCAGAGAGTTGCCGATGATCAAGGTTGTGCAGCCAGCGTACCACTGCTTGCCGAACGGCGGCCATGGCAGCTTCTTTCCGTCAGGTAATCTCCGGTTGAGTTGGGATCGTGTCTTTGCGACTATGTTGGGGTCAGGTTCGACTTGGTCATGTAAGCGGATACGATGCGGTGCGTACACTCAGCGGGGTATGTGATTGCTGGTCCAGGGTCAGTCATGAATCAGATTACGACCTGGGCGCATGCTTTACAAATCTCTACGGCACCTGCAGTTGCACCTGCCAGGATTGAGCGCATTGCGCTTGGCTTCTTCTTCTCGGTCGTTGCGGTCGTCATGACGTTTCAATTCGAGCAGCCTCCGGTGGTGCTAGGAGTAGGTTTGTACGCGCAGCAATTACGCGGGAAAGTTTTGGCGTGTCTACGTCGCGTGCGGTAATAGGAATTCGGCGCAGTGACGTAGTATTGGTCTTGCACTCGAAACCAATGTAGATTCTTTGAAAAACGACAGGAACCACAGTTGGAGGAATCTCGACGCGCCAACGTGAACTAGATTTCCCAAGGTTCACAAAATACTGATTCCATTGTCTTGAAGACGGCCGAGGACGGAGGTGAGCAGCGGGCCCGCATTTCGGCGCCAAGCATCCCGCTTGACATCAGCCCGCCTGCGCTTGGGCCATCGAAAAGTTACGCTTTCGAGAGCCATCTATCGCATCGCCATCTTGAAGTTCCGTTCCAGTCACACGTTTAGTCCACCATGATGTCCCTACGCAACCTCGCCCGCAGCGCCCCGCGGTCTGCTGCTCGTTTCTCCACCAAAGCCGTCCGCCCGCAGTCGTCGCTGCGACAGACGTCAGCTTTCCAGCCAGCATGGGCTGCCCCAATTCCCCGCCTCACAGCTTCTTTCCACATGTCGGCGGCGCGGAGGCAAGACAGCGGTAGTACGTATAGCATACATCGTAGTGAGAGAACACGGCTAACGCGATTTAGTCAATGAGGAGCTCGTCGCAAAGATTCAGAGCGAGATCTCCATGGAGGAGGGCATGAAGGAGGACGAGGATCTCTCTGCCAACATCAAGGAGTACCTTGAGAACAGCCCTTTCGAGGTAAGACCCTACATCACCATTGCTACTGGCCGAATGCTTACAGCCATTAGATTGAGGACAAGGCAGGCAACCAGGAAGTCGTCCTTACCCGCACATACAACGACGAGAAGATCCGAATCACCTTCACCACCGCCGACCTCAACAACAACCAGCCCAGCGATGAGCTTACTGAGGACAATGCTATGTACGACGATGCCGACATGGATGTGCAGTCTGGCGGCGCCAACACCAAGGGCGCCATCAACCAAGGCACTACACAAGACGGAAACATTCGCGTAGCTCCCGAGGACCGTGTTTCTCCCGCTGATCGCGAGGAACTTGAGGACGACTACGAGGATGATGGCCAACAGCAGGGCTTCCCCGCTCACGCTAGCATTCGCATCGAGCGTCCTGGCAAGGGTGCTCTCGCTATCGAGGCCACCGCTCAGGACGGCGACTTCCTGATCGAGGACCTCTACTACTTCCCTACCGCCGATCTGGCTGACCCCGCCACTGCCGAGAAGGACTGGTCAAGACGTGCTCTCTACACTGTAAGTGCAAAGGCTGCATGTAAATCGTAACAAATCTGACTTCTAACAGGGCCCTCCTTTCAACAACCTAGACGAGGACCTCCAGATCCTCCTTGAGAAGTACCTTGAGGAGCGTGGCATCAACACCCGTCTTGCCCTGTTCATCCCTGACTACATTGACCACAAGGAGCAGAAGGAGTACATTCAGTGGCTCAACAGTAAGTTGCGCTTACATTTCTCAGTTTCAGTGTCAGGAGCTAACAGACCACCAGACATCAAGAACTTCGTTGCCTAAGCTCAAACCGAATCGAACAGCATCGTCAACGTCTGAAACCCGACTCGGACAATCCAAAATGACGCTTTGCCGGTGCTTTTACGAAGTAATAAAAGTCTCTCATGTATAAACATATAACGCATCTCAACAGTTGAGCTACTCGGGGCGTTAGCGGAAGTGTAAAATAATTGGTGAGATTGTCCCTCATACATCGTTCTCTGACATGTGCAACACTATCTTGCAAGTAATCATCAGATCGCGAAAGGGACGATCGGAGTACTAGGCAGCTCGAGGCACCTCATATGGGTTGTCTCGGTCCTTAATCTACGAGAACCACGACTTAGGTATCATCGAATGCCAAACAAACGCACATAGCGCTTTTCCACTCATCACTGTCCGAATTATCTTTTCTAGCCCCTTGGCTTATCGTGTCGTTGATCGTTCTGTTTCATTCCAAAGGTCCGTGTCGAGACAAAGACCCGCATACGGCGCGGCGTTTGCTGGGCCAACAACAAAGCCACCGTTCGTCATCCGCGCATGCACACAAGGTGATTGTTCTCTCAATGAAGTTCCGCAAAGAAGTTTGTTCGTTGTCACTGCCGTGGGTGCAGTCAAGGATACATTTCGAAACAACGTTTCGTGACTCTGAATGACGGTCTGCCTGTGATGACTGTATCCCCCTCTTCAACGCTCGAGGATACTACTGTTCATACTAAATCTCCGCCGCATTTCTCCAACTTCGAACAGAGTGTCGATCGATACTAGGTTGCGCGTTTGACGGACCACGATCGATAATCTTGCAAGGGAGTAGTGCCTTGCACGACTGACTCACAAGCCATGACGCGCAATACCAGCCCACGCAGTGTTGGCAACGACCCCGGTCGCATTCCATTTCCAAACCTCCCACCGCCATACACATTCAGAGGCAGTCGGCCTACACAACGAGGCAACTCAAGTTCCTACCTGACCAGAGCGAACGTTTCCGACTTCACCACTACCAGCACAATCCTCGTCGGCCCTCAACTCACACCTTTCCAGATCCAAACCAGCCTCCTCACATCAAAGTCTTCCTACTTCCGCGCCGCGCTCACAGGGCCCTTTGCAGAATCTAGCAACAACAGCATAACGCTCGACGATGTCGCAGTCGACGACTTTCAACTGCTCGTCACCTGGCTCTACGAGCAAGCAGTACCGATCCCCTACAAAGACCGAAAACCAGCATACTATACCCTCCTACACGTCTACGCCCTAGCCGACCGACTAGGACTCGAAGGCGCGAGAAACGCCATCATAGACACAATAAGCGATCTTGCCGACGAAACGAACAGCGTGCTAACACCCTCCGATACACGTATATTGTACGAAGACATCCGCGATTCGGCGCCTATCTGTAAGCTCGTGCTAGATCTCTTTGCCTTCAAAAAGACAGATCGATTGCTGGAATTACATGCGGGACTGTGGCATGCAGAGTTCCTCCGCGATCTGACTGTGCATCTGAAAAGACCGTGTGCGCAGGCTATGCAGCGGCATAGATTGCGTATGTGGTGTCCCATGTCCTGGCACACGACCCGCGGATGCGACTACTGTGGAGTTGTACTACTGCCTAGGTGTGGAGCGGTGGCTTGTGACGATTGCTGTGTGGCGTTTTGTACGGCTTGTGTTCAGGGAGGTGTTGCGATGGCGCGGTGGGAAGTTGGGAGATTTGAGGTTGTGGAAGAGGAGGGGACGGATGGAGAAGAGAAGAGTGGGAAGAAGGTGAAGAAGTGGGAGGCTTGTAAGCCCTGGAGGGGGGCGAGGTGTGCGCTTTATCATGAACATGCTGAGACGGAGAGGTGTGGGGATATCTTTTTGGGGAGGTGACGGGTTTGGTGGACATAGATGGGACTGTTGTTATTGGGGTATCATATCGCAATCTCGCACTTCATTGATCGAGCTCGCTCTTTTTCCAACGCCCATCAATATGCTTCCCAATAACGCTTGAACACTTTCCCTTTCTTCTGGGCCTGACATCGTCTCAGAGGACATCACGAAGACTTAAAACTTCCTCATAGCCCGAACTTACCACTGAAAGCCTCAAGTCAAGATAGCAAGCTACTTGCCACCTTGAGAGCTACTAAGTCTCGTGGACCGACGCCTTGATGCCTCCCCAGTGCCCCTAATATAGCTGCCAGTTTGTAGTGACTCAATCGAAGGCGACGCCTTGATTGGCCTGGCCGCCGACTTCTGTCTCTTGACTTTCTGTGCGACGCCGCGAGTTGTAGGCTTCTGTGGTGATTCCTCATCGTTGTCTTGTTTGAGCTTCTCGTCGATAACTAGGTTCGCAAACGTCTTCGTCTTCAATACCTGTCGCTGATGTCAGTTCTGGTTCCAGTAGAATGGAGCGATGAGTGTCTCGCTCCAGAGAGAGCCTCGTATCTACTTACGGGTTTTCCGACATCCCACTCTGATATGTCCGAAGGACAGTCCGACAGCTCCGAAGGCGAGAAGAACATGCGTGGGTCTGGTTTGGTTGCTTTCAAAGGCGTGACGAATTTGATCTTCAGTTTTGTTGGCGACGTGTCAACGGGGTTGATGTGTTCAGGAATACCGCATACGCCGCAGCACTCTTCCAGAGTCAAGTGTACCTTCTTTGATCTGTTGTTCAAGTTAGCTTATCTGCGCTGGCTGTGAGCCTAGGATGGTGTCAAAAGGCGCGACAGTGGAGTTTTGTCCCTCATGTAGGCTCCTAGCTGCGTGAATGGGGTGTTTGACGAGCTTTAGTATGGTACATACCTGCTTTCGAACAAGGCACTTTCCATTTTGCCAATGAGATGCTCTCTATCAGCATGACCACGAAATAGCTCATCACGTCGTAAAGTGATAACACCACCCGCACTATTGACATTTGATGCGAACGTGAAGATTTCGGGGTCCTCTTCCATTCTCTCGGTTTCATATTCTCCATCGTGGGTCTTTTCTTCCACAACACTGGCCTCTTCATCGTCGTCGCTCAAGCACAGCGGTGGCAAGGGCGTGGGAGCACGAGCATCAGGGTCGTAGCAATCGAATTTGCGATAGACTGGATTGGTCAGTCGTGGAAGTATTCGCGAGGCGGTACACCGCACTTACCTCCGGCGTCATCGGTGAAGCCTTCTGAATCCCACTTGTACGTCCCATCGTAGAACTTGCGTGAGTGCTCGCTGAGGGCTACGTCGACGGGTAGAGGAGTGTAGTGAGCTGCCAGGCCGACCATGATACTTTACTGATCACCTGTTGTATTGAGCGGATTGCCTTCTGTGTATAGACTGAGTAACAGTTGTGCAATAAAGATGAGATACCGGAGCTGCCTGGGACCACGAACGGGGAGGTAGTTATTTTTGTGAGCGTGGTGTGCAAGATGGTATACGCGAGCGTGACCTAGAAGTGCTTGAGGTAAGAGCAGCTGGACAGAAGGCAGGAGCCGCACTCACCGCTTAAGGTCAAACAAACGCAGCGAGCCCTCACTGAGAGAGTGCGGCGCCCAAGATGCGGTTAGAGCTTTAGATTTCTGTCCGCGCATGTCTTATGCCCGAATCACTCTTGACAACGATCCCACAGAGAGAACCTAACAAACAGCAATAGAAAGGAATCCTGATTTTGGAGTAATAGTTCTATGGTCTTGAAAACGACTATGAACCGTCGTGAGAATAACGCCGGCTAAAGTAATGCCTACACGAACGCCCTCCGACTTGATGACCTGCTGGCTGGGTGGCTATTGCGGTGTCGACTGAGCCATCTGCCTAGCCAACGGTATCTTACAGATAACTAAACAATACAGGAAATCGAACACGAAGTGGAAGCCCATGCTGGGGTTCCTGATGCGAATGATAGCCAAAGTGACACACCCGACCATACTCAGGGTTGACCGTTTGGCGAGGGCCGGTGTGCTACATGGCGCTAGCCTGGCCGGCGTGAGTAGACATGTTGGTCAGGGTTTTAGCCATAGACTCTCGAGCTGCCTTCTCCTGTTCCATTTGTGCACGATCAGCCTTAGTAACGCGGGGCTTGCGGACAGTAGAACCACCACGAGAACCTGGACCGCCTCCACGCCCTCTACCACGACCTGACGCGTCGCCTCGTACGGTGCCGCCACGTCCACGTCCTCGTCCACGTCGAACGGTGCCATCGGCCCTACTCAGTGTTAGCTTAGTCTGGTCTGAAGTTGTGGTGGTCACGTACCTCTCCACAGTTGGCTTCTCCTCGGTAACGAGTGGGCCACTGTAGACGAAGAAGCCGTCTTTCGCCATGAGCGCTTGTTGTTCCCAAGCTAGCTCGGTGTCGTCAATGAAGTCATCCTCCTTATCGTAATCTTCTTGCTTGCGCTTGCGTCGCTTCTTGCCGCCGTTCTCCTTGGCTGATGTCTCATCGTCCATGCCGCCCATCTCGACGTTGCTTTCGTTTTCCGATAAGTCGACAGACTGATCGTCGTTTGAGCCCCCACCTGCAGCCCGCTCGAGTGCTGCACCTGCTGCCGTAATCTGACGCTGGCGCTCTTTCCGTGCGGCAATGCGAGGATGTAGAGCAGCAAAGCCGTACTTCCTCTCGACTTCTTGCGCGAAGTTAATAGTGACGTTTTCGCGTCCCTTCAAGTCGAAAGTGAGGTAGATGTTAGTGCCTTGGGTCTCAGAAGTGCCGTTGGCGTTGGCAACGGGACCGAATGGCGTTCCTGACAGGAGGCCGCTACCGGAAGGCAGCGGCGGTGGGGCCTCTTTCTGGCGGACGGTTTTGGCGGGTGGAGTGGGAGCATTGGATTGTGAGAGGGTACCGGAGTTTGTGGAATTTTCTTTTGCCATTGGGACGGATGCTGGCTTACTGGGCTCGGTGTCAATATCCATGGGAGTTGGGCCTGATGATGCAGTGGGATACGGCTGAGGCTGGTTCTGAAGAGATGTTTGCGGTTGCTGTTGTTGGAGTTGAGGTGAGTAGTCTTGAGAAGGAAGGACCGACGCTGGTCGCGTGGAGAAGGCGGCAGGTGACACGGGTGCGGATGTGATTGATGCCTGTTGCTGAAGCTTGGCAGGATGTGAATAGAAGGAGTTGCTGGCAGATGGCGGGTCAATGAGACTTGTGATGGAAGGTGAGGCACTCGCACGGTGGTTGATCGGGGGTGAAACAGGCGGCGGAGGGGCGCTTGCTGGAGGCTGCGGTTTTGACTCAAAGGTGTCGCCCCGGATAGGATCATATCTTTGGCCTGAACTAGATGGCCGTGGCGTGGATGGCGCAACGCTGATATGGGAGAGATTTGGGTTACTGTGGAGAGTCGGCTCGGGATTGCTCAACACACGGGTTGGCTGCGCGACTGCAGGCGGCTGCTCGGCTTGCAAAGCAGGGACGGATTCACTGGGCCCAGTCTGTGGTATGGGTGATAGCTGCACAGGCGGTTTCTCGTCGACGACCTGTGCGGCTGGCTGTGCCTGTGCCTCGAGCGATGCCTTTGTCCTCCTCTTCCGTGGCGCAGGCGCGGCATTTGGGTCCTTGGGCTCCGACTTACGGGGCTTTCTTGTCTTCTTTTCTGGCTCTGGTGCACTTGGGTCTTTGGCCTTTGGTTTCGGACCTGGCTTCTTGCGTGGCTGGCCGTTCGCAGTAAGGCCGCGTGGAGCTGGCGATGCATTTGCAGGGGTTGGCGTGCTAGTTCCAACACCAACACCACCTGCAGCTGCGCGGACAGTTGCTGTCGGAGTGCCCTCAGGCGAGTGCGGGGGCGAGCTTAGACTGCCCGGCGAAGATGCATCGTCGGCCATGGCGCCGAACACTAGGTCGATACAATCCCCAGAAGAGCACCGGGGCGCTTCTAGTGCAGACGAACAACAGAAAAGGTCGAGATAATTTCCCGATGTGAGCAGCGGAGGCGCGCAGGCAGATTCAGGGCGCTGGTGCTGGCTGAGCGCGTGTGTAGACTCAACACCAGAAAAAGCGTGGATAGCAGACTACTGCAATGGCTTGCGAGAACACCAAAGTCGAGGTGCAGCCGAGAGCCGGCGCGGGAGATGTCTAAAGAGCGTCTGATGCACGGCAAGGAACACCAAGTTTCGATCCCTAACGAGAGTTTGATGGCAGCCGCCGCCGCAAGAGCTGTGTCGATGGAAAGGTAGTTGCAGCGTTAGAAAATTGTACAGGAAAGAGAGAGAACAATAGAGGAAGAGAAAGTGCGAAAGACGGCCTCCGTCGTGCTCGGGGGGTTCAGGGCTTCAAGTAGGCATTCGAGCGATTTGGGACAGCAGCGGGCCAAAGCTTGGGTTACGACGAGCCCTAGAACAGAAAAACAGTTTACGCCAGAGCAGCGACGAGTCCGGGGCTGCCCACTGTGAATGAACCCTGGGTCTATGCCGGCTGCTGTGTCGGGTCTGAGGCGTATCAAACATGACATATTGACACTTCCATGGCCGCCGCCACGGCCTGTACGTGCAGCAACAACCCCTTTGCCGCACCGTCCTGCGTCGACGCTGCTGCGATGCCTAGTTGTCTCTCTTCTTCTCGTAACAAGCAAACAACTCGTGGTCCATCTCTTCCATTGCACCGTGAACATGCGACGTACAAAGAGGCGCATTAGCCGCTGCCTGACGTTGATTGCCCTGCGTATCTGCGCATCGCCACAAAGAGCACCTGCGTCTATTGGGGACGACTTCTGCTCTCTGGCAGTGATGCGCAAACAATTGCAGCTTATGCCGTCGTTCACGATGTAGTATTCTATAGATAGTCGTTCTACACGGCTGTCCTGCAGTTCGGTTGCATGTGGCTGATGTGCCGATCTCTTGCAGGGGTCCCTCATAGGTCGGCCTCTCAGGAACGCCTCACCCTGGTCGGCTCTAGATACGCGAACGCTGCCAGCATCACGTTAGGCTCAAAATATAGAAGAATCATGCTTTTGTAACTTTCATGACAGCTCGAGATATACAGAGCCGTCCACCATTCGTGAACGGCGTGTGGAGACTCATAGCCCAGATCCAATCCTCTCCACTAGTACAGAAATCAACTCCAGAAACACCGACACATCATAAAACGCCGATACAGAATGCGCGAAGGGTATGAGTACAGCTGCGCAAGGGCAGATCATCACGCCTTGCTCTTCTTCTTCTTCTTCTTTTCGCCATCCTCCTCGTCCCCTGCCTTTCGCTTCTTCTCCTTCTTGGACTTCTTCTCGGAAACCTCGTCGTCACCCGACTTCTTGGACTTCTTCTTGTCCTTCTTCTCCTTGCGCACAGCCTGCTCAGTCGCAGCTGCGGTGACGCCATCAGCCATCTCAACATCCTCGGTAGCAGTTGCGGTGGGGTCTTCAATGCCAATGTCAGCCAGAACCGAGTTCATGGCAGCTTGCATGACCGCCGCGTTCTTAGCAGGAGGGGCACCGGATGCGTAAAATTCAATGCGCTCATCGACCTGGCGCTTGAGAGCTTCACCGAACTTGGATGTTGGAGTCTCAGAGAAGTTGTCGATTCTGGAGGCAATAGAGCACTTGTTGGCAAGGAAACGCGAGATTCTTCCCTTTGACTTCTGACCAGTGCGGCCGATGAACGAACTGTGGTAGATCAGACCGTACTTGGGGGTGTTTCCCTTGGTCTTGAGAGCTCTGAACAGAGCCTTCTCGGCACCGAGGATCTGAACGGTACTGGCAGGGTATTTCGAAAGGTTGGTCAAAGAACCGGCCTTGGAGATAAGACGCGCACCGACGGTGTCACCGATCAGGGCAGCCAGGTTAGGAGCAACCTGGTTCATGCGGCTTCCAAGGTAGTTGCTGAGCTGCTTGCGGTAGGCCGCTAGAGAAGCGGTTCTCTTTGCGAAAGCCATAACAATCTCCATGTCAGCTGCAGACAGATCGCGACCCATGGAGGTCCTCGCAGCGTTGATGATTGCTTGCGCAACACTCTCGTCGTCATCGACGACAGCAGCGAGCTCGTGGAGGTCCTCATCGCTCAAGCGTGACTTGTCGCCAATCTGCAAGACGACCTTGGCATATTGTTCGTTGCTGTTGACAATCTTGGCGAGCTCGGGGAAGTGCCAGCCTGAAGAAGTACCAGATTAGCAGTTGTTCCAAGTCTTCAGACATGGAGGAAAATACCATAGTTCTCCCTCAGCCTCATGCAGAAGGTGTTGAGATCCTTGTCGATCTGGTCGAGCGTTGCGATCGCCTGGATGATGTGGTTGTCCTGCTTCTGAACGCTGCGCTGCGAGTCAGTATACATGTCGCGCGCATTTCATCCTGAGACATACCTGAACTTGACCTTTCCTCGGGAGTAGGCGTGTCCCAGACCGAGGATGGAACGGTCAATGTCACCCGGCTGAAGCTTCTTGATCAGCTTGCCGCTGTGCTGGCGCAGGCCACGGAGCAGATCAGAGACGACTTCAGAGGTGTCGCTGGTTTCGCAGGCCAGGTGGGGGAAGGCAGACTTGATGCTACCCGCCAAGTTCCTCTCGCTCACTCCGAGAGTGATGGTCTTCTTCTTTCCAGCCTTGGGGAGGTTCGTCTCGAGTGTGGCCCGCAGGAAGTCGGACATGATGCCTTCTGAGACATCGTTGATCTCAGAGAGCGCATCCTGGGTTCCCTGGAATGGCGCAAGGCCGACGAGCTCTACCGTCTTTCCAAATTTATCGAGGTCTTGCACGGCCTTCTGCACTTCGGCGAGGCGGCTGCCAATGGTGTCGGGCTGGAGGATGACCTTGAAGACGGCATAGCCGACAGGACTTTCGTGTAGCAGATAATCTACACTCATCGTGGCGTTAGCTGGTGGCGCGCAGATATTGCGATTTTCGTGCGCGACGGGCTGGGAGGTTCGGCTGTGGGAGGTGGTCGGTCGCGATGGAAGGTCGCAGCTTCCAATTGAACTTTTTTGCGTTCGGGGTCCGAGCTCCAACGACGCTAGCAGGCCGCCCGCTCAGAATTCAATGTTCAGAGAAGAGGGACGCGACAGGCACGCGGAAACTGCATCTTGCCCCGCCACACACTTTGCTTGATTACTGCACTGTTCGATACCCGCATAGATTCTGTTCACCATGTCGGCCGCACAACTACTCAACCCCAAGGCTGAGTCGAGGGTACGCCACTTCTTCGCAGCGCAGAGACACCGCTAACAAGGCACAGAGGCGCGGGGAAGCTCTCCGTGTAAACATCTCGGCTGGTGAGGGTCTGCAGCAGGTATGGAATATCCGGAGCGGATAGATGAGCTTGTCTGACTCTGGTATTAGGTGCTTGCATCCAACCTGGGACCCCGCGGCACACTGAAGATGTGAGCATCAACAATCAATCGTTCGGACAGGAGGCTAATAAGTACAGGCTTGTAGATGGCGCCGGAGGAGTACGACCACCTGAACAATATATATGGCACGTCTGACCATCTCTCTAGATCAAGCTCACAAAAGATGGAAGCGTTCTGCTCAAAGAAATGGTATGAGACCGCCCTGCAACGATGTCTGCAAAAGCTAACCGCATTCCAGCAAATCCAAAATCCCACTGCCGTACGTTCTACCCCATTCCTTCTCGGATCGCGACTCAAACAAGCCAGGTTATGATTGCACGAGCAGCAACAGCGCAGGATGAGATCACAGGCGATGGAACAACATCGGTGGTACTTTTGGTTGGAGAGCTGCTGAAGCAGGCCGATCGCTACATCGCCGAGGGTCTCCACCCACGAGTGATAGCAGATGGTTACGACATCGCGAAGACGGAGTCACTGAAGGTACAGACATTGGGAAGCTGGCTCAGTGAAGATTAGCTGACCACGTACAGTTCCTTGATGAGTTCAAGCTCACCAAAGAAGTCGACCGCGAACTTCTCCTCTCTGTCGCGAGAACGTCGCTATCCACCAAGATCAACAGCTCGCTCGCCGAACAATTGACTCCCGATATCGTCGACGCCGTTCTGGCCATCTACCAAGCGCCCGCGAAGCCCGATCTACACATGGTTGAGATCATGACCATGCAACATCGCACCGCCGCAGACACACAGCTCATCCGAGGTCTTGCTCTGGATCACGGCGCAAGGCATCCGGATATGGCCAAGAGGGTGGAGAACGCATACATCCTGACTCTCAACGTCAGCTTAGAGTACGAAAAGTCCGAAATCAACTCTGGCTTCTACTACTCGAGCGCAGAACAGCGGGAGAAGCTCGTCGAGAGCGAGCGACGCTTCGTGGACGAGAAGCTGAGGAAGATTGTTGAGCTCAAGAAGGAAGTCTGCGGAGACGACCCTAAGAAGGGCTTCGTGATAATAAACCAGAAGGGTATTGATCCGCTCAGCTTGGACGTTCTTGTCAAGAACGGAATCTTCGCATTGAGGAGGGCGAAGAGGAGGAACATGGAGCGTCTCCAGTTGGTTTGCGGCGGTACGTCACAAAACAGCGTAGACGACATGACACCCGACGTCCTCGGATGGGCAGGTCTGGTTTACGAGCACCAGCTGGGTGAGGAGAAGTACACATTCATCGTAAGTGGACCTGGTAATTTCAGAGGAGGCATCTACTTACAGCGAACAGGAAGATGTCAAGGAGCCAAAGTCCGTCACTTTACTCATCAAGGGCCCAAATACGCACACCATCGCTCAGATCAAGGACGCCGTTCGCGACGGTTTGAGGAGTGTGTACAACATGATCGTCGACGGAAGCGTCGTACCAGGCGGAGGTGCTTTCCAAGTTGCATGCGCGGCTCATCTTGAGAGCGAGCAATTCAAGAAGACGGTCAAGGGTAAAGCAAAGTGGGGTGTCTCAGCTTTTGCAGACGCTCTGCTTGTCATTCCAAAGACCCTGGCAGCCAACTCAGGTCATGATATCCAAGACTCACGTAAGTATCGCGTTGCCTCCCTTCGTTGAACTGTACTTACTAGGTGACAGTGGCTGCACTGCAAGACGAGCATGCCGAGGGTAATGTCGTTGGTCTGAACCTTGCAACCGGAGAAGCCATGGACCCGACCCAAGAAGGTGTCTTCGATTCGTTCCGAGTTCTGCGTAACGCCATAGCGTCTGCCACCGGTATCGCATCAAACTTGCTGCTATGCGACGAGATGTTGAAGGCACGACAAATGGTAAGTAGAAGCACGTGCTATGCGATGGCCGAAGCTAATTGATGAACAGGGACGACAACCTGGACCTGGCGGCGAGGATCAATAATCACGTCGCATTATCTCTGGACGATCAGATACGCCACCGCAGCATTCTTGCCGGCGCACCGTTCTAGCCACATAGAAGCCCAGAACAAGCGGACAGCTGGAGGAAAGGCTACATCGTGGGTCACAACTTGATCCGCGCGGGTGTTGCATGCCGACTGTCTAAATAGATTAAAATAATACGACCACGTCACATGGCCAAACTAGCTCTGTGGAGAGTGACTGTGTTTTATTTTCTGCTTTCTTCTTCAGAGTCAAGACTTGCTACTTGTCAAGTCGTCGCGTAAAGAGACTTCGTTCGCGAGGGAGGGATGGGTTCTGCACGCTGAAACACGTGCAAAGATTCCCACCTGGGCAATACTGGACCCCTATCCGGCCATGCCGACCAGGGTGATTTAAGCTTAAATTTAGCGTTCGGCTAGGACGGATGCTGCTCTGGTGCGGGGGCATGGCCTCGGTAGCGCAGGGCATCGTGAAGTTGGGAGAGTGCTGAATGTGTAGCGACAGCAATGAATACGTGTCTTGTGGGAAGACAGGTCTCAAGACTCCTTGTACTGTATTTGCATGTCTACATATTCTGAATCAGCGATGCACTTGGCGTGCGAGAGATCTACAACAGACCCATCAATAGATCTCCAGGGCGTGCATGCCAAGCCTGTTGGAAACAAGACGGCCAAAACAGCCACTGTCGTTCACTCGCTGGCTGGTAGCTCGAACTCTTGCTTCCTTCCCCCTCGTTCGCGCTCCGATGGCAGTGACAACGTAGTCATACCATACGCTCCTTCCACACTCATTCCCTATCCGGCGACGCAGCGCAACCGATACCCGCATTTCGATTCCACACACTCCCTCGGGCCATGTTTCGATATCGACGTTACCGCGCCTTTTTAGTCTTCGCTGTCATTGCTGTACTAGCGCTATACAAATTTGGGGGCTCGACCGCAGCATGGAGAGAAGCCGCATCGAATGCGGTTGGGGCAGCCGGCCTGAAGGGCGACGCTGAGGAGGCTCCGCAGGCGGACACGAAGCCGCGCCCTGCTGTGGCGCACGAGACGAGGAGTCTGAAGCTGGATGTGCCCGCTGCCAGCACGTCGCATTCGCTTCAGACGCCACCTCCCGTAAAGACTCCGGCTGCATCGTCGACATTGAGCCCTGCTGTCACAGAGCAGCTGCAGAAGCCCTCTATCCCTACACCCATCCGACCGCAGCCTCACGGCCAGCCCGCTATCGCGAACCCTGCATTAGAACCATCATCGATCATCGATGCGATCCACTGGACGAAGCTTCCGGAGCATTTCCCCGTAGCCCCCGAATCGCTCATCAAGCTGCCATCGGGCACGCCCAAAACGATACCAAAGATACAAGCCAAATTCAAGGAGGAAGATGACATAACCAAGGTTGACAGGATTGCAAAGCTGGATAAGATCAGAAGTGTGGCAAAGAAGTCATGGGAAGGATACAAGGCGAACGCCTGGCTCCACGATGAGCTACGGCCACAGTCGGGCACTTTCAGAGATCCTTTCGCACACTGGGGCGCAACGCTGGTCGACGCCTTGGATACTCTGTGGATCATGGGACTGAAAGACGAGTTCGAAGAGGCAGTCAAAGCGGTGGACAAGATCGATTTCACCACCACCCCACGCGCAGATATTCCCTTGTTCGAGACGACAATTCGCTATCTCGGTGGGCTGCTGGCTGCCTACGACTTGAGCGAAAAGAAGTACAAGAACCTGCTAAGCAAGGCAGTGGAGCTTGCCGAAATTCTCATCAGCGCCTTTGACACACCGAACCGCATGCCAGAGACATACTATTATTGGAGACCCGATTTTGCATCCCAACAGCACCGCGCCAGTTCACACGTTGTTCTTGCCGAGATAGGCTCCCTCTCTATGGAATTCACCCGACTTGCGCAGCTTACGGGTGAGCACAAATACTACGATGCTATTGCGCGCATCACGGATCATCTCGAAGAATTCCAAGGCAAAAGTCAACTCCCCGGGATGTGGCCTACATACCTGGACGCTTCTGGGTGTGGGAGACAATACATCGATTTGCCCCCTCAAGAGCCTCTCAAAGCTCCAGCAGATTACCTACATGATCAGCTATCGGCCCAGGCCGATCCTGCTACGCCTTCTCCTACCGAGGAACTATCTCCGGACGGCAAGAAGTACGTGCCTTTGGACTTGCCAGAGCCAGTCATGCTTGCGTCAGACGATTCTCCAGTCGGCTCGGGCGCAAAGGAAGAGTCTATAATCCCTGGAACGGCCGGGAAGGCGCAAATCAAGAACTGGGACAGTAGTCCGGTGGAAAGGCGACAGCTTGATATCGACGGATCTGAGCCACCAAAGGGGGCGCTCAATGCCCAGGAGCCCACCTCGACCTCATCTGCCTCCAGCACCAGGCCGACACCCCCAGAATGCATACCCCAAGGATTCACATCGAGCTCCAGCTATGGCCGCGAAGAGTTCACGCTTGGCGGCATGTCAGACTCTACATACGAATATCTACCAAAACAGTACTTGCTCCTCGGTGGTCAGATCGAGAAGTACCGGTCCATGTACGAACAGTCGATGGACGTTGTCAAGAAGCACTTGCTTTTCCGACCGATGCTTCCGAAAGGGGAAGACGTTCTGTTCTCCGGCAAATTGAATGTCCCGTCTGGTATTGACGATGCTAAAATTGGTGACCTTACCGCTGAAAACGCGCATCTCACCTGTTTTGCCGGTGGCATGTTTGGCATGGGCGCAAAGCTATTTGATCGCCCCGATGATCTCGAGATCGCGAAGAAGCTGACGGAGGGCTGCGTCTGGAGTTACAGCATGACACCAACCGGCATCATGCCGGAGTCGTTCGAGGTTGCCCCTTGTGAGGACAGGAAGGACTGTGCGTGGAACGAGACTGCTTATTGGGAGTACATCGACCCACGGTACGAGTCTCGAATGGAGAGTTACAAGGAGCAGCGCAAAGTATACGAGTCGCAGATTCACTCTGCTTCATCGTGGTACGAAGCGCAACTGGCTGCTATGACCGCACTACCTACACCTACCCCAGCTGCTGCAGTTGAAGCCAAGGCCACGTCTACCATGGTATTCGCTGATACGCTAGATAAGCGTCAACTCGCCGGGCTAGTGGATGATGTGGAAATTGCACACATGCCGTCTGCTTCTGCGAGCGCCCTGCAAGATCACGAATCGGTTATGGGTGGGGAGTCTGAGGAAGGCGAGGGTCCGCCAACCAAAGTTCAACCTGCACTGAACATTGCGGAACTTGCGCCGCAGCCTGATCTGACTTTGCCAAACTTCCCATACGTCTACTCGCCACAGCCAGTCCTGGACCACAAAGACTTCGTCCAGAACAGGATTCAAGAGGGTCGTCTGCCGCCCGGCGTTACAAGGATCGGGTCAAAGAGTTACATCCTCCGGTAAGTATCTGAACCCCAAAACGTATCTTAGCTTGACAACTAACATCTTCATAGCCCCGAAGCGATAGAGTCTGTCTGGTACATGTACCGCATAACCGGCGATCGTCACTGGCGCGACGCAGGTTGGCGCATGTTCCTTGCCATTGAGCAACATACGACCACTGAGTATGGTAACTCGGCCATTGACGACGTTACCAAGCTAGTGCCCGAACTCAGCGACGAGATGGAGAGTTTCTGGTTAGCGGAGACACTGAAGTACTTCTACCTGCTGTTTGCAGAGGAAGATGTGATTAGCTTGGATGAGTGGGTATTGAATACCGAGGCACATCCTTTCAAAAGACCTACATAGATGATACGAGTGGGTTTGGATAACTATCCAATGTTTCTGTATGGAGTTTGAGGAGTTGGTATCATCGTGACTGCAATGGACAGTCTTCATCAACATACAGTATCTTCAAGTCTCGCAACAAAACTTGTGAGCCGAGTGCAGTAACGTTGGTACTATACAGCACCCCCAAATAAGGACCAAGGGCAATTCAAATGACGTTGTAGATTCCTGGACGGCATGCTGACACGCATTCTATCTTACACTTCGGAGTAGCAGGTACAATAGAGGAATGAAACTAAGAGGCCAGGTTCCGAAATCGTATCTAGACAGTACATAGGGCCAGCCCTAGCGTAATGAGAGTAGACAAACGGGCTACCAAATTCTTCCTACCTCCGCATCCTCTCTCGACTCATACTACCGGCTCTTGTAGAGATGTCTCCCGATATCTCAGCGCTTCTCACTGGCAGTAAGCTGAGAGTCGATTATATGCTGGGAATGTCGAGCAGCATCGTCGCCTGGAAGCTCGACCGGGGGTAGATCCACACTCTTCTTGTCACCGAGCTCCTGTGGGGCTATGTTCTTCGCGTCCATCTCATGTTTGGGGCCTTGGTGTGGCATTTCGACCATTGCGCTCCTTCCATCAACCTCTCGTCGCTCATCTGCGGGAGCTTCAGGTGGTTGGCCAGGCTTTTTGTTCCGACGGAGAAGCAGAAAGACGGCGGCAGCGATGAGAGCGAGCCCACATACGCCGCCGACTACACCACCAGCTATAGCACCAATGTTGCTCTTGCGAGGCTTACTTGCTACACTAGGCGACGGCGTCGAGGATGGAGACGTCGATGGTGTCGCAGATGGCGTTGCAGAGCGGGACGATGACGATATCTCGCTAGGTGGTGTACACGCGTCGATGCTGTAGTAGACGAAGGACGAATTGTGGCAATCCCCTATGCTCGTGAACTGGAGAATTGTCGATGAGCATGGCACAAATTCTTCGCTATCGGCTCCGTAAATCGTAGCTGATATGGTCAACGACTGAAACTCATCGCAAAGTTCAGGACTTCGCTCTTACCACTGCAGCCTGGGTCTAGTCCGACGACTTGGAAGCTTCCGTATTTGCCTTGGTCCGCAAGCCTCGTGCAAGTACCATTGGGCTTGTTGCAAACGTTCAGTATGTCTCATGCAGCTCGTATAGTAAAACTTACATAGCCATTCTCCGCGTCGAGGCTCTGGAAGGCGTTTTTGCACTGGCTATCTGTGAACGTCGCAATTCTCGAGCTAGAACCAACTTGAAGAAGAAAAGCGATAGGCACAAGGCTGAAGGTCATCAAAGACTTGAAGCTCGAATACGCCATGATAGTGCAAATGAAAAGGGCTTGCTTGATACGAGTGCCGCTGATGGCTTGCTTGAGTCCGGAAGCGTTGCAGCAGGAGAATCGAGAGGTGGGCGAAAGCATATTGCTCGTAAATGCGGCTGACTTGTCTGAATCCAGAAAGTTGCTCCATCTTCACAGGTCCAGTATGCGATAAGAAATGATCGCTGCAAAGAAATAAGCCAGCCTGATCACCCCTGTCGCTGACAGCCTATCGTAGTCCGGGGAAGCACACATACGTAGGCGAAGAGCTAGCCCGAGAGCTGAACTCGAGCCGTACAAGGCAGTTCTGTAGAGAAGACGCTGCATCCGGCGCTCAATCAGGATGCCGTGATACCGAACTAATGCGCCACCAACCCCATGAGATGCGTGTTCATTGGCTCCCGCAGCGGTTGGCCCCGACACGGCACGCTCCCGGCTTTAGTCGACGTAGCCTTCTCCCGCGGAGACGGTTCGCAGTAATTAATGTCATGTCATCTGTTCAGCTTCGTCAGCCTTAGGCATGATGTGAGCAAACACATCGTGACGAAGCAGGCGACTTACATCCAAGGCCGTAGAATACGAGCGGAAGAGCGATCTTGGACCCCCGACCCGCCATTCGTGTCTGGCATCGGATCGTCATTTTCTAATTGTAGCAAATGTGCCCTCATTTTATTCAGAGCCTCGTCCAAAAATGGAACTTGGTTGTCAGAACTAATGTCGAGGAGGGTAATGGCTAGACAGCCTCTTCGTCAGGTCTCCACCGACATGCGGTGTGAGGAGGAGTATAAAGTCTGTCCGATCAGCTCGGGAAAGTCCTCAGATCAATCCAAGGTTCACAGAGAGAATCATATCCAGACTAGCCATCATCATGCGCGCTTCAGTACTCGTTGCACTATCGTCCTTTAGTCTCGTGGCTTTCGGCTGCACCACAGTGACCAAGGTCACCCACACTTACTATGGGCATGTTAATAGGTGAAAACCCTGGCTACGTATTCCCAACTAACAGTGCTCAGGTACCCCGATAATGACCCTCCAGGTCCGGCGACTGCCTACGACTGCGGCCGTGGTTTCCAGGCTGGTGGTACGGGCACCTATGCCGACCCCCTGACATTTGCCTCTGCCCCTGGCGAGTTCAACCAGTGTGAGATCATATACGATCCGTACACGAAAAAGTACTTGCGCTTCGAGGACTTCTGCGCTCAGTGCGACACCGACTGGAAGGCTAGCCCGCGCATCAACCACATCGATCTCTGGACTGGCAGTACCACTGTGAATGGTGGCCAGGAACAAATCCAGTGTGAGAACGATCTTACGCCAGCAGAGAGGAGCCAGACTATCGTGAGACAGCCGAGGCAGGGTCTCCCAGTGGACAGTAAGTCGCGAGCCATAACGAGGCTCTGCGAAGAGGCTGACATGCAATATCAGCGACCAAACTGTACGTCAAAGGTGCCAGCCCGGCCTGCCGAACCAGCCACGTCTTCCCCAGTTACAACATTGGCGACTATTGCTAGGCTCCATAGAGTGCTTTCCAGGTTCCAAGAGTCTCAGTGCGATTGGTTCGATGGACTCGGTAACCTTACAGTCATTTCCGTATCATAGTGAATAGAAGAATGTCAATGAGCTTTCTGAAGTGGTAATCCGGATCTCTTGGCTGCAAAGCTTAGTACATTGGCATGTCATCTTCGTGTTTGACCCTATGGACGTACCATGCTGCATTCTTCCTCGCTTGCGAAGCTCGTCGGCTTCATAAGTGTCAAATCTATTGGCAGGGTAAAGAGAGGGACAGTGTATGTCCCGACACGCGTCTGATTAGCATTATCCTGATAGAGGGTGCATTTGGAAGACGTGTTTAAAGCAACGGTGTTGGTTGTAGTGGTGGTGATGCATGCTGAGGAACGGTTACGCCGCGTTGGCGCGTTCCAGAGGCAGCGCGATTACGTGGGCCTAGCCCCTCAGATGACGCGCTGGACACCGCGCTGCATCGTCGACTCAACCACGACACACAAGCTCCAGTTTGGGAGCGTACGCGTCAACCTTTGTCAACCTGTCTTCTGATGGTATCGTCTGAATACCCTACTGTGTATGTACATGAAAAGACGAAGCTCGTCCAATCCCGGGGAGAATCGCGCGACCGCCTAGGCAAACGCGACTCACTTCGCGGAGAATTGCGCAACCAGTATTTTGTCCATGCTGAACTTTCTGATCATAAAGCTGACGATGAGCGCAGTAGCTGAGAGACCTGTGACCATGACGAAGACCGAATCGAACCCTCTCATGTACGAAGACAGAATGGCACTTTTCTGCGGGGAGTCCGCCATTTTGCGCAAGACGAAGATATATTGCTCAGAGTCGTGAGCGATCGAGGTGGGCAGTCCTAGCTCTGAAAGCTTGTCGGACATGGAGTTTGAGAAGACCGACCCTGCGAGCTTGAAGGAGTCAGCATTGGGAAAGGAGGTCGGACGAAGGCTCAACTTACGGCGACACCGATGGGCATACCCAGGCTTCGGAGAAAGCCGTACATGCTCGCGGCCATTGCTGCGTCTTCTGGCTTGGAAATAGCCTGAATGCCGACATTGAGACTTGTCAGTACCATGCCCATACCAACTCCTAATACGGCAAGAAGCGCTGACGTGACAACAGTTGTTGAATCTACGTCGAGCATAACCTGCAACCCGCACGCAAGTGTCGTAACCATCCAGCCACCCCAAATCGCCCATCGGAATCGTCCAAGACGCGTCGTCAATATCGAAACAATGACGGAACTGGGAACCGTGAGGAGGACGACCGGTAGCATGTCAATACCCGCCTGGGTAGGATATCTCCCGCGAACACTCATATCGTAGAATGGCCAGTAGTACAAGGTCGTGAAGAGCTTGATATGTGAGCTTGTATCTGGGTGATGACTGGATGGGAACTTACTAGTAGGCCATTGATCAGCGCGTTGTAAAAAGCGGCGATTGCGCTCCAGCTTTCGAACACTGCCAAAGGCAATAGGGTGTGCTCTTTTCTGTACCATTGCCACAGGAAGAACGCAACGATTCCTGTCATCCCCGCAATGATAGGTGCAAGAGTCGCAACTGAGTCCCAGGGATGCTGGATGCCGCCCCAAGAGATTCCAATCAACAGGCTCGTCATGCTGCCAATGAAGAGTACTGCGCCCAGCCAATCCACCCGCTTGAGCTTCTCCTGGAATGTGAGTTTCGCCACCGCGTCAAGGCGCACGAACAAGATCGCAACAGCGAAGCCGATAGCGCAGAATGGATAGTTGATGTGGAATGCCCATCGCCAGGATGCGCTTTCCACAAGCTTACCACCAACTACGGGTCCGATGATGGACCCTATGCTCCAGCATCCGAGAACCATCGCGAAGTATTTCGGGCGTTGTCTCAGCGGGACGATGTCGCAAAAGATGACTTGTGTTAACGTTATAATCCCACCACCACCGATTCCTTGGATGCATCTTCCTCCGAGCAGCTCAGTGAAATTGTCTGCGACCGAGCATAGTATCGTACCTGGATTGTAGAGGCATGGTTAGCGACCATCCACGACACGAAATGGCATTCAGACTTACCGACTGTGAAGAAGAGGAGCGAGGTGATGAGGAGCTGTTGCCGGCCGAAGACAGCGGATATCGATGCGATGACCGGCTGGAAGATGGCAGAGGTGAGGAGGTACGATGTCCCCGTCCAGAACGCTTCAGCCGAAGTGCCATCAAGCTTTTGTGCTATTACCTGTGGAGTATGTCAGAACTTCCTTACGGCACTGAGCAAGAGGATGACTGACCGGTAGTACCGTGACTAGGATCGTGGCATCCAGCGCCACCATCAATGATATGAAGCTTAGACTGATCATGATTACCAGCTCCTTCTTTTGTGGCTTCCATACATCGGGCATCTGAGTCTCGCCTCTCCCTCCAAAGTTCTCCAAGGACATATTGTCGGTCATCCACAGCGAGTGAGGAGATACTGGATCTTTGGCAGACGAGGCTGTAATGTCTCTCGAGAATTCTTGCCAATCTTTTAGTTCTAAAACAGTCAGTGGAAAGTCCTCGGAAGCCTGAACTCTTGCTGAGGTGTGCCAAAGTCCCCCAGCATTGGACACAAGCGAACTTTATGGGCTGTGGACTCAGCCATCGACACCATAGCACTACGAAGCGCCATGCACACTACTGTACGGTGATATAAGAGTTCGGATGTACAGCTCTGCTGTGCGATATGCTTACCTGTGTTAAGCCTGATGTGGTCGTGTTTCCACGCACCACCAGGCTCGCTGTATTCATCGGTGGGCGTACTGCAGGAAGAGTCCCACTTGTCAAAGGTCGTCTCGTTCGGATGACTGCCGGCCGTCATTGGGGGCGAAATAGGAGGAACGAGGATTGGGCAAAAGGCCACTTCTCTTGGAGACAGAGTAAGTGATAGGGTGGCCTCGGAGTCGATTGGGCAGTAAAGACCGGTGCCGATCTAGCTTCAGAAGTCGAACTCTGGTTGGGAGATTGGTTTACAGCGAGCGCCCGCTTCTATGGTCGAGGCTCACCTAAACACATATGCAGCTCCCGGATTGTAGTTGCGTAGTAGGCATTGAACATTGTGGCACTAATTCACGATGTCGTTGTTTTTCCTTCGCGCCCAGGCCGACCGCATGTCTGAACGAGCTCTCCCAAACCTACGGGAAAAAAACAACTTGGTCCCCTTAGGGTAACAGCCGTGGCGTATCTTGACACGGGTGGTTGTTTTGATGATCGCTGCAAACGGCCAGCGCGATCCGGCTTCTACGTTGACACGTGCTCTGAGCCAGTCGAGGCCCGACTTCGTAGAATCGCACACTAAGGCAACTTGAAGGACCCAAGGCGCAGCTGATGTGTCTGGGGCTATCTGGCACCCACTTCTATGCTGTCAGATAGTAGCCTCAGCCAAGCCTTATACCAGCTCGACGAATCATGTCGCTCATTGTCAGCACGGCAACTAGTGTTGGCCTTGACTTTGCGCAGCGGGGAAGCGCATCTACCACTGCACTCCCGCTGTGCTGCACAGTCCAACATGTGGCTGGCCTGCCAAAAGAATGTGGGGGGGCCGTACTCGAAGGGGCGCATAAGCCTCACGGACACCAAGCGTTTCCGAGATCCTCGCCTAGGGGCTTTTTGCTATTGAGAACCGTCCCAACTGAATAACGGTACCGGGACAAGACCCGTGTGCGCTTCAGTATGTTTTGCAGGATAGAACGTGCACAGCCTTTCTCCTTTCAGACCATGGTCGGTCGCCGTACCCTCTCGCTGACTAGTAACCGAATAGGAAACATGAAGCGAGCTAAAGAAAGTCCACTGCAAGGCCGATCAATCCTATGGAAATTTCCGTCCGACTTCCAACGCCCTACGCGTACGCAATTGACATCAACAAGTCTCTGATGGCGTATCGGTTGGCTTCCGGTATCCCGATGTGTTCATGCTGGATCCTGCAAGTTCTCATCTCGTTGCTTTGTTCAGAATTCTTGCCACAGTGACAATACACAGAGTCTTTCAATCTCTTTACATTGGACATATCAACAACCAAAGAAGGTGGCATTGTATTCAGAGCCGCTACACTATCGTCACCAGCCTCTTCGGACTTCTTTATCTCCGCATCGGGAACCACCTATTCGACGAGTATCATGCCAAACCATAAGACTACCAACGACACAATCCCCGACTTTGAGCTCATCGCTCCCTCCATATGGGTTTATGATCCGCGGCTACCATTCCGTGCTACACCTTTCTCGTCGCAAAATAGTGTGGCACCGTCACTTATTCTGCTATGCACATGGACAGGAGCCCAGAACCGTTATATCGCCAAGTACACAGCAGAATACAGAAATCTTTTCCCTTCATCACGTATCATGGTTATCACGACTTCCGCGAAAGATCTCTGCTTCAGAAACTCCGCACGCAAACAGTGGCGCATGAGACCCGCCATCGAACGCATATCCAGCTACCGGTACCTGGCTGCTCAAGAGTTCAATAGTGGGATACTGCTACACGTTTTCTCTGAAGGAGGAAGCAACAAAGCCTGCGAGCTAGCAGAGGCGCACTACAGGTTCACCGAGAGACGGCTTCCGGTCTCAGCCTTGTGTTTAGACAGCACACCAGGCCACCCACGCTATCTACGCTTATGCGAGGCCCTCAACAAATCACTACCTCAGATACCGGTTGTGCGTCACATTGCTATACTATTCGTCAGTGTAGTGCTGGGCTGCATATGGATTTTGTACACCGGTATCAAAGGATACGAGAACAACGTCATCAGTCGGACTCGAAAGCGTATCAATGATCCTATCTATTTCGACCCCACAGCACCACGTTGCTATCTTTACTCAAAAAGCGATACGCTTATCGCTTGGCAAGATGTCTACGAGCATCTGGAAGAGTCAGCATGCGCTGGTATGCCTGTCACTGAAGTGCTGTTCGAGAAAAGTGGGCATGTCGGACATGCGAAAGAAGAGCCGAGACGGTACTGGGATGCTGTTTTCGCGACATGGCAAGACGCACAAATCATGGAGAAGGAAAACGTATATGCCAAGTTCTCCGAATCAGAATTTCTGGTGCTAGATCTGCCGAAATTTCCGGACTTCTCCAAACAGAGATGGAGCAACGGCGGATTTCAACGCATTTCCTGTTGAGCTGTATTGTGGGGAATGGGGAATTACTTCGCTGATCGCTCCTACCTGGTTCCGATCCTATTCCACAAATCTAATTTCTTTGTCTTATAAAACGAGTTCTTCGCAATGACACGCCTCTCACTACTTCTGCTTTCCCTTTTGAAGCCACACTAAACACCGCATATGGTGGACTGGCCATTGCAGAAACGTTTTCTTTGTCATACTTTCGTGTCGATCATCAGCTCAGCGCGACTTCCAATGTTCAGCTAGTCCTCAGATTTGCACACACCTGGGCATCCAGGACTTCTAAGGTTACCGTTGAAGGATTTATGAAAATGCAGATCGATAAGACATTGAGGTGGTACACCATCAACCGGGTCACTGGGCCCTTACCGCTAGTGACTATCGCGGCCGGATTTGCCTAGCGTAATATCTAGCGTGGAAGTGGCTTTCAGCCTGACGCTGCGTGGCTGCACCTCACAGCAACAACAACAACTTGTTCCTTGGCGTGTCTTTCAGATTAAATAATCATGCTGCAGGTATAACATCGGTACGCCGATGGCTTCGCTGCACACTGATACCCAAAGGCTTCCTTGCGAGCCATCATCAGCCCGCCGGAGGCTCCAAAGGACTCGTTGTAGGCTGCCGTGTTCGTGGCCCCCGGGTCGGATGATAGAGCTATATGAGACTGTCTGCAGTCAGCTGTCGTCATAGTATGCGCACAGCCTGAGATCGTTTTGTCAAGGCCAACCCAAAGCTTATGTTCGGCCGTCAAATCTCGATCGGCTCAGCCACCACCTGCATGACCCAGCGAACAACACATCAAGAGTGCCACACTTTGTGTCAGGCTGCAAAGTGGCAAAACAGAACCGATAAGGTCTACTGGACAGTTGGTACTGCATGTAAGATCTATTCAGACCCCAGATCAAAATAGTTGCAGCACTACAAAACTGGTGTGTGAAGTGAAGCCTACTTAGCCTCATGGGTACTAGACAACCCCCTGGAGATCTATGATGCACATGTGGTATCATCCCCGGAAACAGATAATGGCGTACGGGTGGCATTGAAGTGCACATCCATGCAGATGTGAAGATTTAAATGACCAGTACAGATCTGCGTTGATGGTGGGATGGATGACACCTGGTCTAGTATTTACGTCAAAATGGTCACAGCACATAGATGAGCTGCTATGAGGCGGACGAGTGTTCGATCATGTTGGTGCTCAGCAAAGCCGAAGTTTAGGTAGCGGTTTAGATCAATGCAAGGTGAACACACGTAGATATATACATATAGTTGTCCGTCCAAGTAACGCGGACGTACGCTACCACCTTCCCTGTCTATGAGCAGCCATCAACATGACCTGTCTCATTTGCTGCATCTGTGTTTCTTGTAACTTGCTCAATGTCATCGTCGAGTAACCTACCGCAGGTCTGCAAGCTAACAGCGATAATCCATCGAACCACCGTAGAGCCTCCCACGCCTCCTTTCTCCATTCGATGTTGCTGTCCCCCAGAGCAATCTGATCAGTAGCTATCTTCCCTAGAACAGCCAGCAACGAGGGCAACGGCGGTAGTCCAATACCGCCTTTGTATTGTCTAGACCGAACAATCTCCCGAGTAACGAGTACGATAGACTTGTATGCGTCGATATGAGACACCCGTCCAGCTACAAATAGTCGTTGCACAATATGATCGCACTTAACCATCATAGAAGCGTCGATCCACTCCGTCTTGTGGTCACAGTCCACCCAACGCCAACGACCATGCAATAGCTCGAGACAGCCGGGATCTTGCTCTTTAAAACCCGAACGGCTTATATTCAGTTCTTGCATCCACAAAGGCTTAGTATTGATGGTACTCCCCTGAAGCTGGCTTGCGGAGAGATGGTGATTGTCGATAAGCGAACGCAGAAGCGGGAACATGGAAGCGTGCGGGAAGGACATTATACCAGTATTGAGTACTTGGAGTACATGGTATACGTCAGGAATAGCTCCGAACTCGAGCAAGATCTTTGCCACTTCTTGATGATTGCGTTGGATTGCAATGTCTAAAGGATCAAATCGAGGCAGCCAGACATCGGTGCCCATAGGAGCTTCTGCGACACTCACGATACCCTGTTCCAGGAGAAAGCGTATGATTTCGATATTGCCATCACGGAGGATCTCGTGATATGCGGCGAGAACTTCCGGGTCCACCTTGAGCATGTGCTTCGGGCGCTGGTCTTCCTTGAGAAAGTGCTTGATGTAGTTCAAGTTATGGCTCTCTATAGCAAGGCGGAGGAAATCAGGTCGATCTCGTTGCGCGAGACGAACGAAGCGTGTTCGTAAGAATTCGATCAACTTGTTTGCTGCTCGCAGGTGATACCCTCTCATGGCTGCCTTGATGGCTTCTATGATGACGTAGAATTTGTTTTCGCACCTGCACTCCGTTGTAGTCTTGGAGGAAGCATGGACAGGGGCGTAATGTTTGCAGCTTTCGTTGTTCGTCTCCAACCCTACTTTCACTTTGGCAAGCAGATACTCGATCATTACACTCTTTCCTGTACTAGCTGCGGCCACAACTGCGCTAGGGAGGTCATGAACGTGATAGTCGAAGCGGTGTTCGAGGAAGTCCGTGGTGTGGTTCAAGAGATGTGCGACAGCTTTGAAGTTGCCGACTGCTGCTGCGCCAGCTAGAGCTTCCCAAAGGGAAATTTCTGGATCGACAATCCGGGGAGAAGCTGCTACTAGATCTTTTTTGAGCCAGATGGCAAGACCTTCTCTTAGTCGGTCACGCGGGGTAGTGGCTACGACGGCTCGGACGAGATCCAAGATGTACTGTTCCCGAAGCTCAATTTCGTTGCCGTCAGGTAGGTTGAAGCGCATAAGAATACCAACGAGCTTGTTGATGAATGCTGGGTAAAGGTGCAAGTAGCCATCTTGACTCCGAATGCGGTTCAATAGGTAGGTCTCCGCATGATCGACCACGAACTGAAACGGAGACTTCGCTTGATGAAGCTGTAGGCCGACCAATCTCATGTAAGCTAGATACTTATTGATTGGAGTCTTGGCGAGCAATTGGTGGTTTAAGACTGCGGCAAAAGACCCTAGTATCATTAGTGGTGATAGGCGAACTGGCACCTTGGAGACTTACTGCAGACGAGACGCGTACGAAAAACTTCATCTAGAAGATTAGCTTCAGAGTAATGCTCTAAAATACTGGTGAGTATTTCAGAGGGTAGCCCGAGAAGAAGCATGGCTGAGAGCGTTTGTGATCTTGCGTCTTTGCAACAGCGAATTGAGCTACGTGGATCTAGGCCGTCTTATGTAAACCGGAGTTCATCGATAGAAGAGAGAATCGAGGATCTGACGACCGCTGAATGCGAAAGATTGCAATAGTAAAAGATTGGGCCAGCAGAGGGGATTAAAGGCCAGGATTTAGTAACGTGGTGGAAAGTTAAGGTCCGACACTAGTGGCAGTGGGTACCTAGGCAGCCTAAAATCGTAAGACATCGAGTGAATGCCTACCTCTGTCAAATGACCAGGTAGTGTGATCTTACAGTCGCAGTAAAGGATAGTCTTCGGCAAATACGATCACTTCCCAGGTCATCGTCATCGCAGCAACATCTTTGCTTCGATTACTTAGATACTCCTCGAGAAAAACACCAGCAGTATCGAAACAAATATCCACTATCCATCGAGAGTTCTCAGCTCTGACTGTAGTGTGTGGCCGTGCGAATACTACCAAGGTTTGCAGTAATAGCAGTCTTCAATCAGTAGTGGCTCGCTCCTGTACTGTAGCTGCGAGGTCCTGAGAAGTGTTGCTTCAGGGTTTTGCTGATCACCATTGTTTCAACGCAACGGGCGATATACATATGCTCGTGACCGAAAGGTATGTCATTGGGTAGTGTCCCTGATGCTAGAGGTTCAGGGAGAGCGCGAGCTTCCTTATCGATAAGCGCTAGGAATAATCACCAATCACGGGCCAGTATCGCAAGATTAGGTGGGTCTCATTCTTGGCGATCTTCCGCTCCACGATCGCCGCTTCCTCCTTCGCTCAGCTTACCACTTGCACCTATCTAGGATGTCGTCTCACGGATGCGTAACAGCACTTGAGCATATCAGAAAATGCTTCATATATCAACTATTAACCGAAAACTTCGTTAAAGACCGATGGGAACGCGCCGACTCAACACCTCCAGTTTCGCCTTACGATTGTCTCAGTTCGCATCAATCTTGCCGATCAAGAACCTTGGCGCAGGTCCAGCGGCCTCATCCGAGTAAGAGAAGTGAGCGGCAGTGATAGTAAGCGTACCAACGCATACAAGATCACCGGTAGCACAGTATACCTCCAGGTCTTCGCTAGGGTAGTCAGAGATGCCACCACGGTTCTGGAGATTTCGCGTGTAGCCGAAGAGCACGACACCCTTGACCTGATTGCGAATAGTGGTAGAGAGTTTGGGAATAGCACCTGCGATCACGGCGGTACCCTGACTGTTGAGGTGTTAGACATGCCCTCAGGTTGGGAAGGCGTAATGAACAAGTACGTACCTGTAGCCGCCAGCAACGATAGGAGTGTCGGGACATTTCTGATTTGCTTGTTCAAACAGGCCCACAGCTTCATTAATCGCAGCCTGGGAAGTGCCGCCAGGCAGTGCGTTCGAGCCTAAATCAGCCGAGTATGGACCGCCAACACCTTGGACCCACACATTGCTGGCACCATAGTTGCGCTCAAGAGCACTGGCTACTGCAGGGCCTGTAGAAGCGCCCTGTCAAAGTGTTAGTGTTACGCGCCCTCAGTGGCATGCGGTATCTGACATACCATGTTGCCACTCTCAGTGGAAGCCCTGGCAAAAATGAAGATTGCCTCTGGACATGCCCCAGCTCGGCCATCCTCGAGTTCATTCCGAGTGGTTGTGCCAAAACCGAACTGACGCGCCTGTATCTCTTTCTCTGAGAATTGAGCTGCCGAGGAAATGGGCGAAGCCGCCGCCAAGGCAGTTATCATTGATAGCGTGAAGTACTTCATGTTGAGGTCCTGTCGAGACTGAGGCACTTGGGAAAGAGGAAGAAGTCGATTAGTGATGGTGCTGAGATGCGAGCGTGCTGTTCAGAAGAGCGGATATCTTTCACATATTTATCTCCTTCCTGGAATAGGGCGCGGATATTCGGCCATCGATCAGCCTTCACTAAGCTATGGCATCCTCGGAAGTAACAACGCAGCATTGACGGCTATTGGATCAGAGAGCTCGCGCTCCAGCGTTCCCATATCTCCACATGCATCCCCCCACGTATGACCTTTCCCGAAGGCACGCATTTGGCAGTGGCTGCAGAGTGTTAGGCTATAGTTGCGGGTTTATCTACGAGTCAGTGCCTTACAGCCACAGGTACTATTTCTCTTTTCACAAGAAGGAACGCTCCGCTGCCATGTCACCCGAATGACGTGCGAATACCAAGAGCGATCTCAGAACTGAGAGTGTAGAAAGCGAAGGGATCAGAGGCTCCATGGGCGGTCACCCTAAAGCTGTGGTGTAGGTACAAAGACAAGCACAAGGAACAGTCGTCTAGCGGATCACGGTAGGTGCCCAAGGAAGTCAGCCTAGGTTGGACGGCTCGGGCATGTGGAAGGCTGGTCGAGATCACGATCCCATCGTTAGAGGAGCTGTGATTCTTTTCGTTTGGAAGATCTGGAAAGGATCTGGGCCTCGGCTCGAGGGACAAGAATGTTGGAAGCCCTTCAGGGATGGCAAGCCATTTACTAGCGTCCGCACAAACACAGCGGTCTCCACTTGCCACCCATGTCCCGTGCAGATCATCATTGGCTCTTGGATCTCTCCAATCGCTACCGATAACCCCTCGCGACATGATGTACATATCGAGATGGCGTGCTTGGCAGTCAGTGAGGTTGCCGGTCCAAGCTGCGCGTTTCCTGTAGCTTCGGGTCTTTAACCTGGAACGGTCTTGTACTTCAGTCGGCGCGGGAGGAACCGGCGAACTCCTTTACACGCTGCTGTCTTCGCGCACATCAACGACTTTGTTATTAATTCAGTAGCAAAGCATACTTATTTCTTGACAGGCAGCAATAAAAAATCTCGATGCTGTCAATGCAAGAACTCTTATTCAACGTACGGGCGACTTATCGTTTGGTGACCAGTCCGAAATGGAAAACGCGTGGATGTGGATGCTGGTAAGCAATGGCAAGAATGCCAAGAGGGTACTATATTGTGGCGCGATATGGCGGGTGGTAGGACGGGTGGTGGTAGATGAGTAACAGTCAGACATCGTAAGATATCTCGCAGCCACAAACATCCAAGAAAGTGGCATCTTCACGTCGGAGGCGACGATAAGGACTTCAACCGGCAAATCAACCAAAGAAAAGGCAAGCACCTCATCCATCGGTCTGTTTAGCCGTAGACGTGAGTTGAGTAACGAGCATGGCACCGTTGCTGATGACATCCAAACGAGGGACGGTTTCTACAATAGCAGGTGGCTTTGAAGTATTGTTACCCAGGACGGATCAATGTGGAGGTTGTCCATGTCCGCGGACTCTGCAGCTGAGTTGTACACCTAAGATCAAGAAGAACGAGACAGATATCTGAACGTGGGATACATTAGGCAAGTATTATGAATTGACATTAAGGATAGCCGTAATGGGTAAAAGTCTCTGCCACTAAGTACACGCAGACCTCAACATCAATACCTCAACTTCCTTGTTCCTCTAGTCTTCTTGATCCACTTGGCATCCCTCTTGCTCAGTTCCACTGCACTCCTCTTCCTCTTCGCATCACCGCCACCAATATTGGCAGCAGTGATATTTCCACACTCGGGTGTTTTTAAGCTTTGGCCAAACTGATCCGCGGCCCAGATGAGAACACCGTTAGACCACCCGAAACCTTCCACGACCTCATACTCTCCGCCTCCACCGGCAGCGTTGGTGCTCTCGTCGGCATACTTCTCGAAGATCGTTCCATTGCCTTGCGAGTCAGGAAGTTGCGGTACTTCGTCAGTCGCGCCACCAGTGACACGCCATGTGCAGTACAACGAGTCAAGATAGCGTTGTGCGAGGCGGAGTGATAGGTCTTGCGTCCAAATGTAGTCTTCTGTTGATTGCTCATCATCTTCTTCGCTGACCTCGAGAGGGGTGTTGAGCAAGCCTTGCATAAGGATGTATTGGAGCGGTGGCCAAACGTTCGGCTCATCCCACTGCTGACCAGTCTGAAGGTTCGTCGCCGCAATCGCGCCGTCTCGAGACTCGAGAAGCTCTTCAACGCGTCCGTATACGCGCCTCATTGCCTTGGGGTCATTCTTGATGCTTTCAGGAGCAGCGCCGGTCCAGAAAGGATAGAACTGGGAGATCTGGAACCATATTTGTTTTCCGGCCGGCGCACCTTGAAGTGACAGGGGCGTGCTCGTATTATCGGCCAGGGTATAAATATTCTGACTGCTAGATGTCAAATTGTAGTCGAAGTAGCTGTAGTGCTCGGGTGACCAAAGGAAAGTAGTCATCGCCTCGCTACGGTCTGCTGCCCGACCGGCCCACTCGCGTGCAGCGGTGTAGTTGCCTTGATGGCGATGGAACTCAGCAATGGTGATCTCGTTGTAGTAAAGGATCGAGTTGAGCTCCACTGGAATAATCTCAATAGTGTTGAGCGAGCGAAGAGGGAAGAACGTATCCGTGACGGCGTCAGATGGGTTGGCTATCCAGCGTGCCGAATAATCCCATCCACTCTCTGCGCCCGAGGCCAGGTTAGAGTATAGTGTCGCCATCTCAGTCTCATTGAGCGATTTTGTTACGTTGAACTCTTCGCCCTCTTCGTTGAAATAGGTTGCATTGTTTGCAGTCACGTAGTCCTCGTAGTAAGACTCAGGTCGTGGCTGGGTGTTCGACACGGCATAGTGGTTCAGAGAGTAGTTCATACCGGCGCGTTCGAGCGTTACAGTACGGTTGTTCACCCAGAAGTCATACTCTTTCTCCAGAATAGGCAGCGCTCGTTCAAGAAGAGTATAGTTCTGGGTGTATTCGACGTAGACCCGAACCATCTGGGTAAGTAGTGGTGGCTGTGATCGATTCTCGTAGTATCGCCGGGCGCCATTGGGTACGAAACCAATGTCTTCGACAAGATCCAGGAAGTTTTCGATTATGTTCTCCGCAATCTGAGTAAAGGATCCCTGGGTACGGAGCAGACCTTCGATGATCCAGAATGAGTCCCAGTAGTATGGTTCTCTAAACCGACCACCAGCTACTACAAAGGTACGATTGACAGGAAGGAAAGAGTTGACGCATTCGGAGCAGTTCCCAGCCCCGACATAACGGCGCGTCAAGTCCGGCCATATGTCGATGACCTGACGTGTGAAGTCTCGAACGACAGAGCTGTTCACGTTCTCGAGGAAGTCTGGCTGAGTTTCCAGCTCATCGGTGGGTACTTCTTCAAGCTCTGAGCCGGCTTCACCAAAGTATTCGGAGAGGAAATCGTTGAGCGCGGTGTTGTTCTCGATTGGCCTTGAGAGTTCCGCGAATGCTGCGAGTACTTCGTCGAGTGGGCGCGTTGTTGGCCTACCATCAATGAGCCGTGATCCAATTCGACTTCTTATCTACAGTACTTACAAGTCAACAAACGTCTTCGAATCCGCAAACGGCCTCGCGAGTTCGATCTCGCGAAGTAGGTCGCCGTAGCAGTATATAGGAGAGTCGCAGGGTGCGATCACGCTGCCATTTATGAACAGCGCGTTCGCCAATGGTGCGCTTATAATGAGGGCCGTAGCCAACGAGCGCATTGACACCATGGTTGAGGATCAGCTCTTGTCAGCAAAGAAAGTGATGAAGCTGAACCGATGCATGGGTAAACGGTACTGCCTACTTAAGTACTCGGCCCTACGAGCCTAGTACGCAAGGAAACCTGCCATTCACCGAGTAGCTCGGGTACTTTGACCGGTTCGCACACGTACGTGGCTGGCCAGAGCACGACGAACGCGCATCGTCATCCTTGGCAATGTTCCCAAAAGTACCCAAGTCGTTCTTCGGCATCAGCAAACGGCGTATCAGAAGCGTGCAGCTGCTGATAAAATGTGGGGAAGTCAAGCATTCCCCGCGAGTGCGGCTGTCGAAAATGTCTTAGCGTGATGTCATCGCCGTCAGCCCCGGTCCGAACCACGGAACACAACACATGGACGGCATGGCAGATTCTGCTCACCGCGATTCTGACACTACCTCACAGCTGTCACTCGTTTCCAATCCGATGAAATAACGAGAGAAAGATGCAGTCAAGCAAGACTATATACGGTGAGAACGATGAAGGCACAACAGGTACTATTCTCTGGGTCAAAGCGCGTAGCTCCTGCCCGCAATCATGTACGTCGATTCTTCGTCACATGTCGCGTCAATGTTTATCCTGTGATACTCGATCAACTACGGCAATTGGAGTTCTCCACATGGGCGCGACTCGTACCCCGACACCGGTGTTCGGTTTGTCGGAATAGCAGAGAAAGCAGACATGGGCGCGTACAGCAGCGACACCACCGTCACCCCATTAATTCATACACACCGCCGTATAGCGAAGAAAGATCAAACCGAACGTTCAGCTATTGAGCATCTACCATTATATTCATAGGCTATCGTAAGCTGTCATTTATTATTGATTATTTATCCTCAAAGAAAATTCTTAATCCACCGCAAGACAAAGGGAGATGACTTGATGACTTGCAACACCGCACCTTAAACGCTTGTCCGCACGAGAGTCCTTTGTTCAGAAACCCCGTGAGCGACTTCGACCAAAGCTCCTCCTCCAGCTTCCAGTACGTATGTGGAGTTGGCTGTTCCTTTCGTAGCGCACACCTGTACATTAACTACATTTAGCCCTTGTCTGGCTTTTCCAATTTCCAGATCGCACAACAATAAGCCCGAAAGGACTTTGCAATGTCCAGCGACCTGCTCCTTCTCACTAATAGTCAAAATGCCTGCTTCATTCTGGAGCACGATCTTCCACTCGCCATCGTATAACGCTGGCCAATCCACGGGCATCATATCTACGTGTCGGTCCTCGGCCGAACGAACAAAGTAAAGTACCTCATATGAATCGAGCCGAAGTTTATCCAGAAACCCAAGTTTGTGAAGAATTCGGAGGTAATCAAGAAAATCGCATATACAGCTCACGGCTGACAGATGATGCGAAGCATGTTCGAAGGCCCAAGTAGTTTTCGGGATACGCTTTATGGCACGTAGTAAGGGCAGCAAGTTCCATTCCTGTATATCCCAGTCTTCTTCTTTCAGATGCACCGTAACGTGAGCTAGTGGTGGGAAGAAAGTGTTGTTTGGTGCGAATGTATCGAGAAAGCGAAGGAGATTGGAGAAGTCGATGAAGGCGTCCCAAGCCTTATAGAACAGCGGCCGAAACTCCGTACGCAACTGCTGGCATGTTGAGATCAGACCAATGGAAGATTCGCGGGCTGTGTCACCCTGCTCATCAGGCGGAAGATTTGGTACGTGCACCATATGTGTACGGAACATGTTTTCGAATATGTCATGCTTATCTTCGATGGCGAAATCATACACTTTGTTCCGTACTTCTCCTGGTAGACGAAGAAAAGGAAACGGACCCGAGTCGGCTGTGGACACGTCTGGCTGATCGATGAGGTAGGGTGAGTGACGGAAGTCGGACATCGTGAATTCGCGCTCTATGGGTTGAGGGAGCCAGTTGATTATAAGCGATCGAAAATACTTAGGGTCGCTCAGAAGGGCAGCCACAACTTCAGTGAACGTACGTGCGCCTTCATGGCGTCTGGTACCTTCTCTTGGGAATCTTCGCACTGTATGCCAGTGAAATTTCCTTCGGTCTCAGGTCATGCGATTGAATGAACCTCCGGCTGTGGCGAATAAACTGAAGAGGCTGCACTCAGCGTCTGCCTCGTGACAAACTGGCCATAGTGTTGCGAAAACCGTAGCTGCCCAGCGGCAAGTGAAGGATAGTACTGCCGTTTTGTCGCTGAGAGAGCAAACAACGCTGTTCCCGTAACACCAATGTCGCATCTCTTTTGCATTCCTCAGCTCTTGAATAAAGGTGACGTGAACGTCTTGATCAAATTCTCATCCCAACATTCTCGCCAGGCCGCCCAAGCTCACATTTAGACTAAAGCTCAACTTCACGCCCTTGGCTTGGGCAGTAAACTCTTGACTGTGGTGACTCCATTCTCTCCGGATTTGCGCACGTTGCTGCAGGGCGCCGAGTTTCCTTGGTAAGGTCGTCGCTCTCTTTTCGCTCTCTACGCGTGCGAGAATTCTTCGTTGCATGTTCATTGTGTCTTGCAAGATTGGTCCCATCATGGCTTGGACGCCCACAACCTGATGTGGTGGTATATTTTCGGAGACAAGTCTGCCGCTCCGAGTCTGGGCGAGGAAGCTTTGATACCGGTAGGAATGTAAGACAAAGTTCTGGATGTCTGTTATGACGTTCTTCTGGAGGAATGTAACAGCAGACTTGTAGTGTCGCAGATCCCAAACAGTCGCGTTCTTCTCGGTTATCAGTAGAAAGTTATCTCCGGCGCCTAGTGCTACGAGGCGGGGTCTATCAGTCCAACTCCCATCCTGGATGTTGTTCTGCAGAGCAACGAGGAGAGGTCCTGGAAGGTTTTTCCAAAGATAGGAAGTATTGTCGTGGACAAAGAAAGATGAGTTGTACGGCCCTAGCGTACACCGGATGTTGGAGATGTTGCGATTTCGAGTATGCACAAACTCAGCTAACTCGGCCGGGAGTCCTGAGCTTTCGACGCGATCTGTTCCATCGGTATCACGCCAGGTAAGGAGAAACGCATCCTCAAAACCTAGGGTCACATGATGAATCTTCTTCAATTGCGAAGAGGTGAGAAATCTCGCCAACTTTCTCGGTAGACGTGCGCTACATCATTGTCAGTATAATATGATCAGAGTATTCCGTGCAAGCATACATTTCTCGTCTCGACGGACATTGGAAGAAGTGGCTGCCGCGTTGGCCAAACGTGAACGTGGAATCGCACATGAGCCGCCGAAATCTCGGACTCGCTAAAAGGGAACCGCTCGGTCTAGATCGGTGGAAGCGGTGTGGGACGCAGAAACCAGAGTGTCGCTATAAAGCCGCAATGTTGTGAAGAGCAGACAATCGCACGACTGATAGTGTTGACAACACTCGCCTTGCCAAGGCTCGATCGCTTCAAGGGTGCAAACCGGATAGCAACAATCTGAAACCGTTGTCTGGCAGTGCGCGCGAAAGTTTGGGAAGACGTCACAGTGGCTGGCAATTATCCCGCGGCTGTAAATTACGCGTTCGCATGTATATTATAAGTCGACTCAAAAGTTCGAGCGCGTCGCTGACATCAGTAGAGCGCGATTCTCCAGCCTCCCGATACGTGACGTCATAGGTGGCTTTCACCCCAGCCCAATCACGCGCAGCTACCTAGGTAGGCATGAGCGGTACCAACACCTCGTTCTTCTCGTTCGGGCTTGACGACAGCTTCATATCCAAGAGCTTTGCGGGTCTCAACTAGTATGCTACCCATTATTTTCCCTACGCGCAATGACTGACAAAACATAGCCGCAATCTCCCTGCCAGCCTCCAAGATCTCCTTCTCGGCAGGACAGTATCCGAGGTTCATTGGGCAGCTCTAGGGCCAGCGCCCGACTCCTGGATTCTCAGTTCCAAAGACTCGTCAGGAAAGGACAGTCTACGTTGGGGCCCTGCTATACCCGCAAGGCTTCAGAGCATCTTAAACAAGACATGGCACTCTCCGCACTTGCGTGCCTTCCTGGGACCAGACGATTCCTTCATCATATGGCATCCTGAGCTCATTCGTTGGGCAAATTTACCGACACCCCTGGAGGATGCATTGCAGTCATGGTTGACACCTTCGGGATGGCGGTGCGGGCCACCGCGCATTGTGACCTGGGGTCCTGAAGGCGCGTTCTTCGCCATGAGCGAGTACGGCGACGTCGTGTACCGCCTAGGAGATGCGAACGCCTGGGAAATCTACAAAGAGACGGTGGAGGAATGGAAGGCAGAAAAGGGCTTCGTTTGGACCGATCTCGCTTTCATTACTCTAGATCCTACAAGTGTTGATCAATTCATCGCCATCCGAAACGACGGGACATGGGCCGGCTCTATCGACGATATCAACGAAGAAGCTTTAGAGACCTTCGCACTCAATTTCTTTGCTCGGGCAAAGAAGAAGACGAAACCCAGCACATCCCAATCTAATGGGCAAATGCCGAATGGTGCAACCAACTCCACGGAAGCGAAACCGGACGCCGCGACGCAAGTACTCTACGAAAAATGGTCTACAGAGGCGGCAGTAATGTTCGCGGCCGCCTCAGCAGCAGCCGGAGGCGCAAAGCCGAAAGCCCCACGGAAACTACAAGTCCGCTCCCAATCAAGCAGTTCAGACGTTGCTCGGCCACCGCTACAGCGCATGCCATCCGCATCACCCAAGTTGCTTTCAATGTTTCCCTATCTGCCCAATACAGTCACAACTTGCAACCTTACGGCGTGTTCGATACTCAAGTCTGAGCCAGAGAGTATACACGCCTGCCAGCATGACGTGGAAAAGCTACTCCGGGCAAGCGGCCTGTATAGCTACGAATGGTTGAGGCAAGAGCGTTTACGATGGCATCCCGACAGATTCGCACGACTATGTGAGGAGGAATGGAGGGAGACGGGGAAGAAGCTTGCGGGCGAAATGTTCAAACTTATGAGCGTGTTGATAGAAGATCTGAAATCGCGTACAGGCGAAGGCAGTTGAAGTAGACTGTATGAAATCTAAATTCTAGGATAGATCCACTGAATGCTATCAAGCTTGTCTAGCAACCAGCCTCAAACTGCCGTTTTCTTTACCCAAACTCACACTACTACTTGCAGCCACCTCTTCCAGTCGTTGTCTGCCCATTGGCTGAGCTTCTTCCGTAACCACCTCGTCCATCTCGCAAAACAACATTGCCAGTATCGAACTCTTCCACAGCCTTCCACTCTCCACGCCCCTACTCTCGATATGCACTAGTAGCAGGAAGATGGCCGACAAAGCGATCATTACAGCCGGAAACGCGATCCAGGCCCAGTTGATCTCAATACAGGTTGTCGTGTACCACATTGTCCCTTCAGCGGGTTTGCTATGTTCTTCCATACCGTGGGTACGAAGAACGGTGTTCATCGCATTAGTCAAATTTGTCATGATGCTGCTGACATGCTCTAGCGGCGCATCAGGCAACTGTCCGCTATCCCACAAGACACGCATATAGGCGTTGCCATAGCGAGCAGATATGATATCCATGAGAAATTGCTGGCCATAGACAGCTTGGAGATGAGTCTGTATACCCGTCATGGACCCAGTGAACAGGGACCAGACGCAGTCTTCGGGGTACCACACAAGCTCTGCACCTGGGCCTTCTGAGTCCAGGCTAGTTGTGTTGATGGGAGCAGCGTCGATGTTGCCTCTGGCCACAGCTAGGTAGCCAGGTGTTTCTGAAGTCTTCACGTCGCACGTGGTTTCTGTGCCGTTGCGAATGGTTTGCTTGGTAGCTAGACGGAAGGCAGTGGTGCCACCAAAGGCTAAGTCCTCGCCGATTCTTACGCTTTTCACTATCTCTTCTTTGAGGACGCCGTTGTGGTAGGTTGCTTTGATGGTGTTGACGGTAGGGTATATGCCGCAGGTCATTGCCTGATACTCTATCGAATCATACGGGATGTATATCATGCCGATCGTAGCTATGGTACCGTTGTACTTTGGGTCCGAGACGTCGGTCACGAGCTTTCCCGGCCAGCCTGCGAGTGGGAACTTTACGATGGGATCAAAAACGTTGTCGGAAAGGCTCAGAGAGAGTCCAATGTTCCTCGCCTTGGTACCATTCTTCAGGGTGAGTCCGAAGTCGTATCCGAGCGGAACTGTCGTGTTGGTGCTGTTGGAGTTGGCAATCGTCTCGGGAGGAGTCTCGGATCCGGTTGTCTCTCCATTTAAGTAGGCGGATGGGAGATAATCATCGAGCTCACTGTCATAGTCGAGCTTCGTTTCTACCACTTGGGAAGTGGCATTCTGACACCAGTAGCCCACACCCAGAGTTGAGAAGGCCGCACCATTCGCATTCGGGAACGTGCAATTGCCGGTCTTGCATCCGTAAGAAAGAAGTGTAGTTGTGTCCTCGAGCGGTTGCAAAATTCCGACATCCATAGCCACCGTCAAAGGAAGGTACTCGTCCGCTGTTGTTGGAGATTTCCTTTCCCCACTTTTGTTGAAAGCATTGGATCTGAGTATTCCGACTGCGGCACTTTCATCAGGACGGAGACAGTCGTTGAAGACAATGAGTTGCTGAGCGGCGAATCCGGTGAATGCCGACATTACTGTAACGAAGGCACCCATGGCAGCGATAAAGTATGGCTTCTTGATACGAAGACCGAAGATGAACAGGACAGAGCCCCATGCACCACGACTTGCGGAATCGAACCTTGCCATGTCTTCCAGCTTGCGTGATTTGCGGAACCATTGCCATTTCGATTGACTGATTCCTGTGTCTGTTAGCGGCCGTTCCAAAATGTTCTGCGAACATATAGGAGCATCAAGACGTACCTTCCGCAAGTACCATGGAAACTCCAGCTCTGATCATCATCGAGAAAAGAGAAACAATGGAGTTTATGCTAACGATCTGCGGCCAATCCGGTAGAGGACGATTTTGGTGCGCCATGAGAGTAACGATGAGTCCGATCAGTGATAGCAAGGCAAATATGCAACTGCATGTCTCTGCTGTCCAACCCTTCCTCCATATTCGCAGTATAGCATTAGTGAACGCCGTCCAGCCTCGAGCGATACCCCGCGGAATCACCATTAGAGCACCCAGGAAACCCGCGAAGCATCCTCGCGAACCTGCAGTGCTTCTTTTCTCTGACTGACTCTGGTCAGAATCCTCGACTGTGTTGGTCGCCGGCCCTTTGCGCTGTTGAAGTAGCGGGCTCGATGGTAGTGGCCCTGCGGGATCCATGCTGAAAGGAAAAGCGATGATGAGCACCGTCTACGTTTGCAGTGTCCCCATGCTATATGCTTTCTTCGCATCAAAGTACCAAGCGGCATGGCAGGGCGTAAATAAGGCGTCCTGCGTTGTAACGGCCCTGCAGCGCGTACTAGCGAGCTGCACCCATAATGACCAGGGTCAAATTGTCCGGCGACGCCATTAGATAGGACTACTGCGACGAGCAGCGACCAGTGTTCTGAAGATAATTCTTGTAGTCCCAGGGACCGTTACGACCAGCGCAGCTCAGTACCGTGTCTTCTGATACCTATGTGTTACGCTCCTTCATGTTCGTGTGTATTGTAGAAACGCCAGCAGATCCCTGGCCCCGACAGGGTACGTCCTAAATCCAAGCGCTTCGCCCCATCTCCAACTCTTCACCCCACCTGTCATTGGGTATAGGGACTAGCTCGGCGGCACTGTGTGACCAAGATGCAGGAAGCATTGCGGGCGGGGGCGGCACGAAGTTGACTATTGTACGAGGGAAGCCACAGAGACCCTGGCGTTAACGTGGTTTCGCCCCAGGTACCCACAAGATTCAGGCACCACTCTACCAAGGAAGGAACGATCGCTGCACATAGGTAAGAGCTATCGCTAAAATATATCTCAACTGTCCAAGACGGGGCCCCTTCGTGTTAGGACTTCTCTAGTAGCTGTCGGAAGCTGAGCAAGTCAAATCGTTGCACGCGCGTGCCGGGGTTGCTTGGTGTGGCCATGATCCGTCGATCCTGTCATCTTCTGGCGCATGAGCGCAGGATTCAAGTGGCGCATGTAAGTTGACTGCAGAATGGTGTTGAATTATTTACACGGACCAAACGTAGAGGTCTAATTCTAAAAGCCGTCATATTGTGTTGACCAGTGGATGTCGAAAAACAGGACTCATATGGAGCCGCCGCAGATACCAACAAATGGTGATCAGATATACGCCTATCCTATCTGTGAACGCCGAATATCCCAAGAGGCCGTTATAGAGTCAAAACAGATGGCGACGAAGCGCCGAATCGCACGCTGAAATTGCAGTGACAGTATATGCTCATGAAAACCAGGCCGGTTGCTGCTCGTGCCCCCGGTTGTCGCCCATATTATCGTCGTCGTACTCTTCCACCTTAAAGTTGGAGCCTAGAGCCTCGTTCGCTTCTCTGAGCATAGCACTCATCTGCATGCTCATCCTGCGCATCCGCTCGTCTTCCTCCATCTCCTCCCTTCGCACTTTGTCAATCAGACGCTGGCTTTCCTGCGGCAGAGGGCTGGCGACCTTGCTTGCATTATCCTCAAGCATGGCCGGTGAGCCGAAGCTTTGTCGATGATAGGAGCGCGGGCGTTCGTGTGAGCCAGGGGTGGCTTGTGGACTACCGTAGAAGGATCGCCTGTCCATTGTCGAACGTCGGGATACTGGGATCAGGGACGGCCGCTTGTGGGATGGTGTTCCTGTGTTCGCTCGTGATACAGGCCGTGGGATGAGTGAGGGCGATCGGTCGGGCAATCTTCGTTCGGATAATCGCGGTGTTGAGGGTCTCGACTCTGTCTCCAGATTTGTTCCAACCACCACCCAGTTATCTGCCGTCCGAAGTCGCTTGGCCATCCTAGGTCGCTCGGGAGTGATTGACTCGATTGACTCAACTCCATAGTTGTCGCTTGGGTATTCAGCAGGTAACCGTTGTACTGGACCGGCCTCAAAGGGGTCGTCCTGAAGACCAAGTTTCTCCGCAACCTTCTCCTGCGCGTCGATATTGTACCTCGCTCCTCCTCCTGCCTGGAAGCCCCTGAAAGGCACAGTACAGAACTGGAAGAGCTTGCCGGCTACGCCTCCGACTAAGCCCATTAACGACCAAGGTTTGCTCTCGCTGGGTGTTGTATGCATTTCGCCAACTGCGACCTGTGTCGCAATGCCAACCTGTGGTGTAGGCGGAACTGACCAGTTGCCGCGCGACTTCTGGAGGTTGAAGTAGTCGTCGTAGTCGCCGTCTCGTCTTGTGTAGTTGTTCGTGCCATCCATGCCCCCTGCGAGCTGGTAGCGGTCGTTCGCAAGCGGAGGTGGACTTTTGTTGTCGCCAAAGCGGTCGTTGTTCAGGGCATGTCTACCCCAAGGGCTTGCCGTGGGCTCATGCGCCGTGGAGCCATACCGGGAGCGCTTGCGGGTCGCGTGGACATCTGGATCGGTCACCTGATGGTCGGAGGTCTCAGGCGCGTACGTCGCATCGAAGTAGCTCCTCTGTGACTTTGCGCGCGCATTCGAGGGCGAGGGAGTAAATAGCCCGGGCATTTCGTGGGAGTAGCGCGAGGTTGCCATGCAGGGAGGTGGATACGGAGGCGGCTGCCTCTGGGATTCAAGGCTGGCCAGGCACCGCTAGCGAGCGAATGATGTCAGGCTTGCTGCACGAATTATCGCTACCCGTCAAAAGCTTCCTTGGCCCGCTGGCCTGGATGATCAAAAAGTAAAGTGCATGTTGCGTGCAGCGTATCGTGGTCGGGTTGAGTGGGGAAGTGCGGAGGTGAGCTATTGTTTATGTGCAGCCGTCGCTGTGGTAGCGCTATGGACGGACCACCGCAGTAAGGAGTATGCGCAACATCGTTTGATTTCAGGAGCAAGGCTGATATATGGGATTCAACAGAGAGCAGTGAGCCTATCTATACATACGACAACGCCTACCATGAGGGTATATCTGCCCGAACGCCGTCGCAATGAGTAATGTTTCCCTACCAAACGCCAACGCCATGGCTCAGGTGCCTTTATGCCCTCGCTATCCATCCGCTGTGTACAAAGTATTCAAACAGTTGCGACGACTTGTTTGTGTCAATCTTACAAATCTCACGGGCCGTCTTTTTCTTAAGCGCGCCGCCGTTGTTTAGAGCCGCTCGAATAATGGTTTCCTTGAGCGCGAGATAGGGCTTGGGCATGATGCGTAATGTGCTGCATATTTCCACCTCCTCGGGATTGAGCAGCTGAAGATCCGCCTTTGACTCCTTGCCGAACTTCAAGGGTACAGTGTTCGGTAGCGACTTAGGCACGAACTTTGTCTTGGAGTGCTGAGGTGTCAGGACGCCGTTTGCACCATTGACACCATTCTGTGCGCGATCAGGAGGTGGCGTTGTGAGACCGCTGTTCTGTTTGACGTGCAAAGGTAGCTCCTGTGCAAGCAATGCCGTGGCTGCAGAGGGCTGTTCAAAGGGCGGTTGCGGCTTGGTCATCCTACTGGACGCAAGACGATCGAACTGCCCAATGGGAGGCGGCCTGGTTTGCCGTTGCTGCTTCTCCTGTTCGTACTTCTCACCGGCTTTGAGGCTGGTGATTTGCATGTTCCTCCACTCTTGAAGTTGCGAGATGGCCTGTCTAAGGTTGTGCTCGTATTCAAGGTCCTTGCAGAACTGCTCAAAGTCGGCGTGCTGCATCATCCTGGCAAAGGGCTTGGCCTTGTTCATCAAGTCTTTCTCTTCTTTTGTCCGTTTCTTGTCGGCCAGCTGGTTCTTGCGGTACTCTAGCAGCTGATGCTCAAATATTATTTTCTTGCGCTCGACTCGGGCATCTAGACGGTGATTGTAGATCTCCATGATAGTCATCTTGAGGTCCATCTCTGGCTCGAGCTCGCCTGTCCTTGGGTTCAGGCCATCACCGGGGTCAAACTGCATGTGCTGCACAGCCTCTTCTGCTTCATTGAAGTATTCCGTCTCAAACTCCAGACGGCCTGGCATGTATCCTTGGACCTCGTGGCAGGCGGGAACACTCGCCGTGGGCTTCTGCTTCGGGGCATCGGGCTCGCGGCCTGCAGCTTCCTCCTTCTTCTTCTCTATCCTCCGCTTCTTCCTCGCCTGGAACTCATGACGTGGTATGCGGGTGCTGAGCTCGGTGTCATCCTTACTGCAGTGCTCAGGCAGAGGGAAGCTGGGGCTGTCTAGGTATGTGTTGATGTAGTGGTCACGGACCTCGTCCTTCTCGCGGTAGCCGCCTATGTGGTCCGCAATGTCTGCCCATGATCCCAGACCGTATGTTTCAGCGCCTTCCAGCAGGGCCAGTTCCTCGTCGGCTCCCCAGTCTTCGGTGTATATAGGTATTGAGTGTTGTTCTATAACTTTGAATTTGTGCTTGGCCGGCTGGTGGTCCCGTGAAGCCTTGCCGTCGGAGAAGCAGGGCACGCAGAGGTCGTACTCGTTGCAGACGTCCTCGGCGCAGCGTATGCGGACGGTCGACGTGATATCGGATGAACAAACATCGCAAACATACTTGGTCCCGCCCTCCGTGCCCCGCGTGCCTGTCTTCTTCTTGATGACACCCATGGTGCCCCGCTATTGCGCGCGCAGGTGAAGGCGGGTTTGGTGATTGGGGGTGACGGGGTGACGCAGTGACGGTATCTGTGGCTGTGCACGGCAGGGGCGCGTGTCGGGGTCGGCGGGGGCGCTGACTAATGGCCTAATGAAATGCAGGATAATGCCGCAGGTCGCAATGCTGGACGGGGACGGGCGCCTGGGAGTGAATAGCGCGTCGAGGGAGAGTCGTGTTGGGCTCCAAGGTCGCGGTGTTGACGTACGCGGGCGGGAGGGTCAACGTTCGCGGCCACGGCAGCTGCAGCCGAGGCAGGACTGACAGGCCAGATGTCGCAGAGAATCGCGATGGCGCCGCAGCAGCCAGGCAGATTAAAATAGAAAGCAAGACTCACTCGCCCGTCCTGCAACACGCGAAACACGCAAAGGAATGAGGGAGGATTGGCGTGTCAGTGCGTGGTGCCTCCGAAATGAAGGCTAGTTTCAGACCCAATGACCCAACTTCAAACGAGGACCCTATCCTGAGCATCGCAGCATTGACGAAGGCCTGGGGCACTCGGACGTTAGCAGCATCGCCACCAGCCGCGCCCTATACCTGCCTCCTGCCGCTGCTTCTGCTCTGTAGACATCCTCCTCTGCCTCCTGCGCGCCCTCTCCGCCCTTGGTGTGCCCCTCGTCGCCTTCCCGCCTGTCTCCACTCCCAGCTGTCCGTCTGTTCTTCCTGCATCTGCCCACCCGCTGCGCTGCCGCAACCATGTCTTGGAAGCTCACCAAGAGTGCGTATCCCGCTCTCCTACTACCAAAGACGCCCCCCTAACACGTGCTGCAGAGCTCAAGGAGACGCATCTGGCGCCCCTCGCCAACACATTCAGTCGCTCGTCGTCGACGTCGACCATAGTCGATGACCAGCCGACGCCCAAAGCCTCGAGTTCCGCCGCCAGCGCGACGACGCTCGGCAACTCCAAGGACAATGGCATTGGTACTTGGGACCCTCTGCCCACACTCACCGCCTGCTGACCGACCCCAACAGCCGCCTCAGAAGCCAACGCCTCCGCGCCGGCACAGCCCCTGCGCCCCGGTATCCTCATAGTCACGCTCCATGAGGGCCAGAAGTTCTCCCTGCCCGCCGGCGCCGAGCAGCAGTTCAGCGGCGGCAGCCACCACCAGGGCTCCATGTCCCAGGGCGGCGGCCTCTCGGTCGCGGGCTCCATGCGCCCCGGCTCGTCCTCGCACCGGCCGCAGTCTGCTGCTGGCAGCATCAATGCCGCGCCCACGATCCACGGTCGCTACTCCTCAAAACACCTGCCCTATGCCCTCGTCGATTTCGACAAGCAGCAGGTCTTCATCAACGCAGTTTCCGGTACCCCCGAGAACCCACTCTGGGCGGGCAGCAACACCCAGTACAAGTTCGATGTGTCCCGTGTCACCGACCTCACCGTCTCGCTTTACATCCGAAACCCCTCCGCCTCGCCCAACGCTGGTCGCAACGAAGACATCTTCATCGGAACACTGAAGGTCCACCCCAGATTCGAGGAGTCGCGGCAGGACAGCAAGGCCGGAAATGGAGAGGGTGGCGCTGGCCAGGCCGGTGCCGACTGGATACCAGTGCAGTTCGGTAGTGGCCAGATGAAGGTCGGCGTCAACTTTGTCGAGAACAGGCAAGACCGTCTCGCGATTGACGACTTTGAACTCCTCAAAGTAGTCGGCAAGGGTAGTTTCGGAAAGGTCATGCAGGTGCAGTACGTGCTTCTACGTTCTATTACATTTACAACTACTCACACCGCGCAGGAAGAAGGACACGCACCGAATCTACGCCCTCAAGACGATTCGCAAAGCACACATCATTTCCCGATCCGAAGTCGCGCATACTCTCGCCGAACGGTCTGTTTTGGCCCAAATCAACAACCCCTTCATCGTTCCGTTGAAGTTCTCTTTCCAGTCGCCAGAGAAGCTGTATCTTGTTTTGGCCTTTGTCAACGGTGGAGAGCTCTTCCACCATCTGCAGAAGGAACAACGGTTCGATATCAACCGAGCTCGGTTCTACGCCGCTGAACTGCTGTGCGCTCTGGAGTGCTTGCACGGTTTCAACGTCATCTACCGTGATTTGAAGCCCGAGAACATCCTTCTCGATTACACTGGCCACATTGCCCTGTGCGATTTCGGTCTCTGCAAGCTGGACATGAAGGATGAGGACCGGACAAACAGTAAGTCGAGTCCGAATGAATTTGTGTCAGCTTACTAACACCTCCTAGCGTTCTGTGGAACACCAGAATACCTCGCTCCGGAACTCCTTACTGGCGCCGGCTACACCAAGTCTGTCGATTGGTGGACACTGGGTGTTCTCCTATACGAGATGTTGACCGGACTGCCTCCGTTCTATGATGAGAACACCAACGACATGTACCGCAAGATTCTCACTGAGCCTCTACACTTTCCTGGCCCTGAGATCGTGCCACCGGCTGCACGCGATCTCTTGACCCGCCTGCTGGACCGCAACGCTGAAAAGCGACTGGGTGCTAAGGGCGCAGCTGAGATCAAGGCGCACTACTTCTTCCACAGCATCGACTGGCGAAAGCTTCTTGAGAGGAAGTATGAGCCCAGCTTCAAGCCTAATGTGGTACGTAATGTCATCATTGTTCGAGGAGTGAAATCTAACATGCCCTCAGGTTGACGCAAAGGACACTGCCAACTTCGACCGCGAGTTCACTTCCGAGGCTCCAACAGATTCATATGTCGATGGTCCCATGCTTTCGCAGACCATGCAGCAGCAGTTCGCGGGATGGTCATACAACCGCCCTGTTGCTGGCCTTGGCGACGCTGGTGGCTCGGTGAAGGATCCATCATTCGAGGGTGTGACAGAAAGATAGTGCATTCCTGGGCGTAACAAATTAGGATTCGGGAAATCTCCGTTGAGTATGCGTGTGGCTTGTCACGGCGATGGAGCCGACACCAGGCACAACACCCACCGGCTTTGGATCCACAGATAGAAGCCGTGGTGATTGGTGG